GTTTCTGAGATGGGTCAAGAATTCGGCTACCATAGGTATCGTTATATCTCCAGGTAACTGTTTCCCTCTTCTCCATTCGACGAACTTGTCCCATCTGTTATTATATAAGGCAGATGAGGCTGGTCTCCATGAGCTAGCCACTCTTCGTGCAGCTGATTTAGAGTAACCGGCGGCTTGCATCTTATGCGAGATAATTTCCAAGCGTGAAGATGGAGGTTGTCGAGGCGGCCGTAAAATATGTCCGTCTTTGGTTGTCTCAATAGGTCGGGACGTACTGGGAGTTTCAGAGGTACTTCTAGCAGGAGTTGTAGAAGTCTCGGAAACCAAGCCCTTTTGGGCCAAGCCGGGGCTATGAGGATTATGACACAATCCGTTTCCTCTATTTTCTTCAGTACTCTGTCTAGGAGAGCCCATGGGGGAATGCATAAGCAAACATTCCCTTCCATTCCATGGAGAGCGCATCGACTTGGAGTGCTAGTGGGTCTGGTACTGGGCTGACGTAGACTGGTAGTTTGTTGTTGAGACATGTGGCGAATAGATCTATGTTTGGAGTGTCCCATATCTGGGTTATCCACTTGAACACCTCGGGATGTAGTGACCATTCTGTGGGTACTATCTTGTTTTTCCGGGATAGGTAATCTGCTAGTATATTTAGCTTCCCCGGAATGTGTCTTACTTCGATCTTGCAACTCACTGAGTCCACCAAGGCATATAAACATGTAACCTCCTTCAGTAAAGGCTGAGACCTTGTGCCTCTGTAGGTTAAATCTTGGATAGATGTGAGCGGGCATAGGCGAGACATCCACCAGCGTCTCGACTTGACGGCCTGATCGAGTGGGCTTTGTTATCATGTGCTCTACTCTTGCATATCTGTCCTCTGGGGGTGCTGCTATGCCCTTGTTGAGTAGAATCTTGCGCCTATGTAGGTGATGCCTGTGTGGGTACTAGCTCTGTTTTAGAGGGTGAACCAGGAAACCTAAGAGTGTTAGTAGTGAGGCAAACTGTGTTTAAACTAATTGCGCTTGTCCTGATCGGCCAATAGGAAATCGTCTATATACAAGAAGCCTTATGAGCTTATATGGGCGCAAACCGATGATGGGATTGGTGATCCTGGTGAATAACCATGGGGCTAAGGATATGCCGAATGGTAGTACCCTGAACTGGTATCTCTGACCGTTGACTGCAAAGCGTAGGTACCTGGAATACTGGGGAGTAGAACCCGTGAGTGGTCTCTGACTCTTTTAAGGTGCTGATAGCCCCTTGCTGAACTTGTGTAATCTTGGGTCGATGTCTGTGAGATCGGCTAGTTCGACTGGATTCGATGTGGTCGTATCTTTGATCTTCTGTAGTTCTAAATCGTTGTCCATTGGGCAAGCGATGTCGGTAGGTTCTGAAGGCATTTCCGGTGGTATCCCCTTCGGGGACTGCTTCTGCTTCCTCCTCTGCGAAGTGGGATGATCATCTTTAGCAGGAACTGTGCTTCTTGACGTTAGTCCGGTTGCTGATTGAAGATCTTCCTGCATCTTCAGTATGTGTTCCAGTGAGCTGTTGATGAATCCGGTCTGCTGTAGTGTCATCTCCGTGGGGTGTCTAAGTGTAGGCCTACGTTCTGATTGTTCGGGGTATGACGTTAGTAGAAAAGTTCAACGATGCTCGGCTGTCGGCAACTTGTGTAATCACTCTTATTAATGGCAGGCATACCCAGTCTAACATTAAGTGCCGAAAGTAGCATTTAATGAATATTCGATTCTTGATGACGTCATCAATATATGACGAACAGGGGAGGGTAATGAATTCTAGAATCAACTGACCGGTACCTCCTACCCGTCACGTTCTAACAAGGTCATCTTGGCATTTTGTCCTTGTATCTGTTTTAAAGGGCGGGCATTAGATTTATAGAGTTCTGCAATGATATGTTAATGGCATAATTATTTGGTCTATAATTAACCTCCGTAGTAGAATCCCCACTGTATAAAAAACAGTATTAGCAATAGATCCGCACCCCCTACTCGGGCTGTGCTGAGACTGGGTCATATGGCTGAGGGTAGCGTAATCCCGGTCGTCTGATCTACGGCTGGCCGTGCGGGAATTACGTGTTCTATAACTGTGTGATAGTGACGTAACATCTCCCTCGCTTCTCCGCCCGTGTAACTGGACTGTGTTGCAGTATGAGATGGCGCATGCTTAGGAATTCTATCCTGATTAGCACGAGCTTTGTCAGTTCGTCTATCTTATGGCTAGAGGGTGAATGGTGTGTATTTCTGAGCATACTGCGATGCAATGTCCGTGATTCACTATGGTGTACGTGGTAGGGAGGTAATCTATCTATTTTTGTTCTCCTGTGTCCTCATAATAATCAGATACAGCGTTGGCTTGCATTGTCTGCTGTATGAGGAAGTACTGCCATATTCAGCCTTATATCTCACTTAATCTCGTGCTTATCAATCCCCGTTTGGTCATGCCGGGTTTGTGCAATCAATTCTTTTAGAGTTTATTCCTGAGCCCTTGATTGCGTGTGCTTTTATCAATTATTACAACACTGAGTTGGTTAATTTCTCCGAATCCCTTTAGTTAAAAACCTGTGAGGTACATCTGCTCCTCAACATAATTGGGAGATCCTTAGGTCTCTTGAATCTCGTGATCGACCCCTGTTGGCCAAGCCCGGGTTGTGCGACAGATTCTTTTGGATATGAGATTTCCGGAGACATTGATTGCATGCGCTTTTATCAATCTGATCGACCCCTGTATGGCCAAGCTGGGTCATAGATTGCATGCGTGCGTCAATCATAACAGACATTGAATTTTGTTATTCTTTCCGTGAACTCATTTAAGTTAAATGGGGAACGCGGCAGAGGGTGAAAATCGTTAGTTTCTGTCCAAACTCGATGATCGACCGTACCAGACGTTGCCGGATGCAAGTTAGAGGCACTTTCTGTTTGACCGGTAAAATGCATCTGCTCCTCAACATTATTGGGAGAGTGGGATGAGCGACGGGGTCTCTTCTCCTCATAAGGTGAGACGGCGCCCTCGCGCGACACTCGCGCATTTACGCTTTATACATCATTACAGACATTGAATTCCGAACTCAATTAAGTTAAAAGGGGGAACGCGGCAGAGGGTGAAGATCGTTAGTTTCTGGACAAACTCGATGATCGACCGTACCATACGTTGCCGGATGCAAGTTAGAGGCACTTTCTTTTTGACCGGTAAAATGCATCTGCTCCTCAACTTTTGGGAGAGTGGGATGAGCGACGGGTTCTCTTCTCCTCATAAGGTGAGACGGCGCCCTCGCGCGACACTCGCTTGTAACCCACGTGATTAATATGGCCACCAAGAGCTTAATCACTTGTTTTTACTTGATGCGCTAGTAATCTTTGTAATCAGGATTGTTGATACATGCCTTGTAGAGCTTGTCAATTTTCTCCGTTGACAGAGGCTCGCAATAGCTGCACCTTGACTTTTGTGTGCAGTTGCTTGCATGATAGACATCTAGGGTGAGGGTCATCAGGTATCTGGTGTTGCCCACAGCCTGAACAGACGGGTGTCTGTCCTTGAGATGAAGATCTCATCCCACAAAACGTTTCTAACTAATTACTTACTAGAACTTCCGATCTTCTTATACCCCCGTTCTCTGCTTGTAGACTGCTCACTGCTTGTAGCCTATGAAGCTTGAGAAGATCTAATGTGCTTTGTAAGTGTGGAACTCAATCACGTGTACGGATGTGCAACAAAATATTTTCCTTGTTGTCATCTGGACACACAGGAAAGAAGTGACTAGATTCCCGCCTTGCGCATGCGCAGTGGCGCCTCTGGCAAGGGATAGGGTTTCCCTCACAACTATGGATATGTTGGCAGTGTAGTGGACGTCTGTTGAAAATTTATAAAAAAATTATAGTGTGGTTCTCAGCATAAACAGGAATTTATGGCACTGATGTGATAGAGGTGAGGTATTCACAAGAATTATGGAAGTTACGATAACCTTGGGGATACATTCGCTTTGTGGAACAGGCCCCTGGTTTACTCCATGTACAGGAGATATATTGCAGTTGTGCATGCAAATGGTAGCCACACGAGGAACTGATGTGGATTTGCTGGGGATATAACAAACACAAACACCTAATATAAATGAACTCTGCACAGCGAATTGCAGCGCCTTTGACTACAGGGCCACTCGTGGCCCCCATACCTCCCCTGCCAAGTGAATGTTGGAAAGTGGAATCACCAATTTTTCAGATACAATGGAAGTCGATGTATATTTTGTGGACCAGCTAAGCAAGTGACTATAGAAGCCATATGCCGTCAGGATATAATGACACCCAATGGACAAAATCACAGAGCTTGGCCACCCAGTCAATTTAGTTGCCTCGTTGTATTTCTTTGAACAAATTCTCTCCTGGAATTCCAAGGGCGTTTGATGTAAGTGGAGTAAACCCACAAAAGTAATTCTCAGGCACTCCTCATTTCGGGCACGGGTGGCCCAGTCGTCTAAGCCGCCATGATTCGCTGTGCAGAGTTGTGTCCCTTGGGTACGCCGGAAACCTATGATTATGGGTTCGAATCCTGGTTCCCCCCGATTATGTTTCAAGGTTTGTCAGCTCCATACCTGTGCTCATGGGTTTCACCGAAGTGGAGACCTACATCACTTCGGGCTTTCCTCCCAGATTTAACTGACACACCGCGATGTAACTGGAATACTGTTAAAAGCAGCGTTAAACCAAACTCACTCATACATTTCATGTCAATTCTTCATGTTTGTTGTTTGTTTAATGCCGCACACAGTAATATGACGGCAATCTGTTGATGACAGAGTCAGGACCAGACAATCCAATGATGGTCATCATGACATCAATAAGCAATGGGAATACAATGACATCAACCAAGTCAGACAGTCTGAACACCTGTTCTCGTTCGTCACTTCTTACAAGCAAGGTTGCTGCAGACCAATTCTCATCCAGACACCATGATGAAATCAAGATAACAATAATCACTACAAGACACACTTTTAAGTTCAAATTGTTTATTGTGTGATATTTTTCTACAGCTTTGTACATATTATGTTTAAGGTATTATTTTCAATTGTGACACAATCAAACACAATAGCACTGGACAGAAGGAAGAAAATCACAAGGGTTAAAGCATCTAGACTGGACAGTTAAAGTGAAAGGGGTTAACACTAGCAGTCACTGTCCATCACTTGCAGCCTTAACCCTTTAACACTTGCTACAAGTGCAATGGTTTTAATGTCAAACATGTAATACCAGTCAGCAGCAGAAGGGTTAAGGTGGGTGACGACACGAGTCCAGCATCGAAGAGCTTCAACATTTTCAGGATTTCCATTAAATACCTATTCTCATCTCACAGAAACGGTCATTAAAGAGACTGATCCAGGATTTGTAAGGTGGAATTAAAATTTTAAATAACTTCAGTTTCAGATTTGTTTGAAGGGGTTTCACATTTTCTAAATTTTACCTTCAATTCAGTGAGTGAAGGGCACGTCACAAGATAATTATTCAAAAAGAACAAAAATATTTTCTTTTGTCATAAGGGTCCATGATATTATTACGTGTTATTTTCAAAAGAAGGCTTCAATTCAAACCCCTTGACCATCTTTCAATCCACCACTGTTAAATACATTATCCTTGATAAGTGGTCTTGTTAATTGGCCCTGCTTAGGAAAATAACATAAAGCCTGTTACTCATTAAAAGAAACTGTGGGTCATTTAAAGTTACAAGTTCGTTCTGATTTGCTCTCTGTTCTGGCTTCCTATTGCAATTTCTTTCAGTCCCGGACAGCTGGTCATATACTACAATAGTCAACCACTGACACCATGCTATGTATTTATCTAAACCTCCGTTATTTTCTCCAATAAAAACAACATAATGCTTGAGAGAGAAAATGTTAATGAAATATCAACCTTTTTATCTCCATATAAAGAAAGTTTCATCCAAAGTTTGAAACCATTAGCTGCTGTCCTGTGTCCTCAAAATCAGTACATAATATGCAAAAGTGCAATACTGACTTCAACACGTGACTACATTAAACCCCTAGAATTTTGTTTGGACTCTCCCATGAAAACATCTCAAAGAATCCATTTTGAAAATATAGGGTTGAAAGAATTCATGAATATGACAAAGCCAGTGCAAAGTTCAAAAGTCCATCACAATTTTGAATTCATTGGAAATATATTACACAGTGTCCCTTGCTAAAGTGATACAGACAAAAAACAAACCAATTGCCTTGTCTTGGACTTGGTGATCTATGTACAGTTGACCATTCACTTATAACAAGCCATTGTCTCTCAGTAATGTCCAGTCTCAATCTTATCTTTGGGATTCGAATACATACATTTTTTTTACATACAGCTACAGATATTCTAACAAACTTTCAGGGCATAATTTCTTTAAAGACCAACACTTCCTAAGTCTTCGTAAATTCTGACATCATAAAGGCTCACTTAACAGTCATGAATTTCACTCCACTGATGCAAATTGTATAGAAAATTTATTTTTCAGACATGTGAAATAATCCATATAATATATTCATAATACTGTGGGTTCCTCTGCATCCTAGTGTTTTCATGAAAAATGGCAGAAAATCTTTTAATAACATTGATGCCATATGACGTCTTCAGTTAAATCATTTAGAAAATTTAACACTCAACATATATTGATAAGAATTTGTATGAATTAATCAACATGCAACATGGAAATTAGTCACTTTACATACAATTACATACTAATTTTCATTTAATCAAATTGAACTTGAACAATTAAACTTCATTCATGCCAGATTTTCAAGACAGCATTACCCTAGCCAGAACAGCGATACCAGGATCCATGTCAAAGTTCAGTTGCTAGTCTACAGAAACGCTATAAAAACATACAAAAGGTATCACATTCCGTTATGGTGTCCAAGGTAATTATAAGAAGAATTATGCAATAAAATGGACCATAGTATGTTGGTAACAATTCATTAACATCCCAATAATCAATAACAATAAGGAAACAATACAGAAACAAGGAAACAAAACCATTCCACACATAGGACGTTGGTGTCAACATTTGCATTCAAGTTGCTGAGATGAATCGAAGACTTGCGATTGATGGACGTGAAACTGACGTGACGCGTCGATATTGACGTCGTCAGTATCAGTGTCGATTTCATCAAGTGCTTGTCACTCTTTGCAATTGATTGACGTGAAACTGACGTGACATGTCGATATTGACTTCGTCAGTGTCAGTGCCGATTTCATCAAGTGCTTGTCACTCTTCTACAGCTGAAACAGCTCAGCTTGACTACGTCATGACTCAAATAGGTAATAAAATATCTAATTCTATTACTACCCCAGCCATTTATTGATGATTATGCAAATCTAACATCCAAACTTTAGAAAGTTTCTCATAAACATAACATGAATTTTCAACATTTCAATATATTATCTGGACAATAAAATAAATAAATCTTGCTGCATGGTTTAATGCACTAAACAACAGACAAAACAACAACACGTTCATTGTTTAACAGTCTCACTCGTAAGTACCCCTTAGGTCTGTATTTGTAATTACTTGGTTTACATATTTTTCCAAAGCTACATGGTTGATTGTTGAAATATAGGAAGTTAATAAACAAAATTTAAAACATATTTCAAGAAACTATTGGACACTCGGAACAAAAAAAGACTTGAAAAAGATGTTTTTCTTCCTATTTTGATCAACTCCTGTTAAATATTAAAGAAACTTGTTAAATGAATATGGAAGTAGAAAAATTATCATCATTTGTGAAATTTTGGATCAGAGGATCCGTAAACCAAATATATACAAAAAGACTTAAGCAAATTAGGTTTCTCACAGGTACATAAATAATGATCGCATCAATTATGCTACCGCACTGTTTAAAGGATTGTCAAAATACCCAAGTATAAATCGACTTCATGTTATGTCATAAATATAAATGACTTTTCAACTGGACTGCCAAAAGATCATTTCTATCTTTGGAATGTATAAACTTGACCGAGAATGTTCAAGACACAATTACACATGATAATACATCAAAATTCTTTTCAGTGTAAAATGACTCATAGAATTTTTCCAAGAACATTTCCCCAGATGCATTATTGCTGTTGAGATTACAATGAGAAAGCAGTGTATGAAGTAAAACTTTAAAATAAGAAATAAAGTTGACACTAACAAAATAACTAAATAATTAATAAGATTTTTTTTTTTAATTAACTTAATAAACTCTAAAGAATTATAAATATTGCATCCATATGACAATATGTGACATCACAAGTAACACTTCCAACAGTACCATGAGGATTCAAACACAGACCCTGAGTGATCAAACTAACAACAGGGTTAGATATATATGATCCAATATTTGATACCTCTTGTTCCGTTTGAAACCTAACACTAACATGCTTTTCAAACTAGTTTCAAAACAATAAAATTGAACTCACTGGCAATATTCATAAACCAAGGTTCACAAAACTTAAATAACAAATCAAATCCTTCAATGTCAGTTCACTATGATACAAATAACAGATAAAATCCACAGCCTGCTTTCTCAGTGAATGCCAACATCTCAATTAATCCCTCTGGCCATTATCAATTCATGCAGACAAATGTATCCACGCAACATGATTTGGAGAAATCTCAGCATAGTTTTTCGACACATGAAAATTAAAAAGATAATGCAATCACTGATTTGTTAGCAAACAAACAAATCAAATATTTAATGAATAAAGAAATCATAAATATGTAGGTATTATTCCGCAAATCGAATATTCACATCTGTTACTTTATCAGCAGTGCTTTATTGTCAAATTGCTATACTGGAGTTTAAAGCCTAAGAGCTGCTAAAATGTACAAACATCTAGCTCTGTCCTATTGTAACTGCACAGATAACAGCTCACACCTACTGCCCAAGCCCTGAGATTACACATAACAGACACATACCCTGTCAAAGACCTATATTCAACACATTATATTTTCTCAGAAACCTCTTTTGTAATTGAACTGCAATTTGTTTCATATTACATAATATATTACCTTATTTACCTTGAAGACAGGCCAGTTAATGTTTAGTTCTATACATAATCGCTTACAGATCAGTATGTCAATGGCTCTTGAATTCCAGTCCAAACTCAGCTTCATTTAATGTTTTTTTGTGATATCCTTTCGACAATATTTGTTCCTAGTACCATAAGTCTCCCTGATCAAAAAGAAAATCACATAAGACTGTTTCTAAAATCACCATGTTATGTTCCTGTTTTATCTCTCAGATGGCAGAAATTTCTCCGATTCCATCAGCAGCCATACACATGGCAAGAGAAGTATCAAAGATAAGTCTGTCCACTCTTGAAATTCACACAACTTCTATTAAAATACGATTTTTTTTACCAGAAAAAAAATCACGAAAATGATTGATCGCCTGATAAAAATTCATTCAACATGATGATAAGAAACATACAAAACAAATATCATAGCTTAACATTATTTATGTTTTTATTAAACACTTAAGGTTGTGTAGTATATATTATGTATACAATAAGTGTAAATCACCTGAAAGGTCCCTCGAGTCAAATGGCTAAATTACAAAATGGCTTTACAAGACCACACAACATTTCACCACAGCCATGTACAACCCTAGACAAATGGTATATGCAAACTGAAATTTATTAACAATTAAAACAAAGTCAAAATTTCACGCTCTTGCTTCTACATCCCAACAAATAAACCACTCATCTAACATTACAACTACTTCCTAAGTTTAGCCCTGAAATACTGTGCAAGTCAATAGATTATTGTTTTTACTCCCAGGACAAAATATCTGCAAAGGCAAACAATTCTTAAGTAGTTTCAGAGATAAAGCCAACTTACTATTCATACTGTTATTTTTCCCAAATATGTAAATAAACACACTTGAAATGCCAAGTATGGCCTACCCATTATATGAACCAGCGTTCGAAATTGGCACTAGTCCTGCAGTCCTTGCCAATCTGCCCAATAGTTAAGGTATCATAAGGACTAGTAAAAATTTGCCATTTTTAAGGGTTTCTGTGTATGTTATCATTTTTTAGGACTAGTGGACTAAAAATGTTAGTTTCCACCCATGTGAACAATAGAATATACTCCTTAAGTGAACATGTCCACATGTGCTGATAGAGTACCATCCTCAACAGCCGAGGGAAAGGTGTCTTCACTGTTCCAATACCCCTGGACAAGAGATTGTCGATGAAGAATGAAAAACTTGGCCATATGTTGCAAAGTTTCAGAGGCTACCAAAATAATAATCTTGGTTCTCAGGCACTGCCCACATCATCACAAAGTTTTTATTTCAATTTTATTTTAAATAAAAAAAAATCCTCAAATATTCCAACAAACAAGTCCAACAGCAGTCAAATACTGTATTCCAGTATTTTACTCATCAAGGAATACATTTCCCAGGTTGATTGTACACACCTTTTTATTTGGTTACACAACTGTTTATTTGGTTACATACTATTTTGAACAACCAAAAAAAGGAAAGAAAGAAAGACACCGCCCACCCACACATTATTTTTCAAAAACCATTGCCTGAGAACCAATTCTTTTATTTTATTAAGCCTCATAAATCAGTGAAAGCATTTCCATCTTTTCACAGATTACAGTGTATGAGTGATTTTGTTTGTACTGCCAATGATTCATCTAAACAAGGCCAGACTTTATTTCAAACTTGGTTTACAAAACCCACTCCAAAAAATTGGAATGAGGAAAAAAATAGAGTTATGTTTTCTTTATGTCAAACAGAAATAAGTCAAACGTAAAAAAACCACATTTACTGTTACGATAAATATTATATTATTTCAAATACTATAATTAAATACTGTTGAAAATTTACTTCAAAACTTCAAAACACCACAAATTATGAAGAATCAGTATTCCTAGTGCTACACTACCTATTAAGCATTTTGGGGAAATCCAAACAAATATTAGAAATTGGAAATTTTATTTTCGTATTTTTTCAACCTACTAGCTGAGTGTTTGGGTAAAAAATCCATAAACCAAAAAAAAAAGAGCCTGGCCTAATTTAATGCTTGGACTTAGTGGGCAAATGGTTGAGAGTGCATGTAATGATTTCTACAGTACTGCGGTATGGGTCAGATGCTACACTCATCAAACAGCTACTACAATTGGTCTTCAATTTTTCTCTTTTTTTTCATACATACCCTGGTTCTACTGTAGCCACCCCATCCTCATTTGAGGTACCTCTTATTAAAAGCATGGCAGATTCAGGGAACAGTTTTTAAGTATCTTCCATCGAAAACATGCAATGAGTATGATAGATTGTCATTCTTGTGTATGTACAGTCCATGGGTGTTATAAAACAACATGGAGACTTGACTACCACATGTAATCTAAGAGTAATCAGGTAATATGAAAGAACTCTTTTAATATTATTTAATATGCTTTGGATTGGGAATGTGAGTACAGTGTTCAACCAAGGAATGAAACACCATTGGAAAGGTTTTGTAAATATGCATACATTCAGATAATGTGAACTTACTTTCTTGGAAGGAAAAAATAAGTAAACATCCACTTTGATTCCAATCCCATTGAACTCTGACAAAGTTCCCTTTAAAAGTGACACCATCTTCTGACATACAGACTATGATCTCACAGATTCCACGCCATAGAATGTCAAAAGTATTGCCGAAAAAACATGATAGAGAAAGATGAAAAGACATGTCATCCATAGGCAATCCCTTTCCTCATAATGGAATGTCTTCCACAACAGAATTTACAAAACTAGAAGCATCTATATACAACATAAATAATTTAAATCAGCTCCATAAGTTATGTCATTGCTGTACATGTGGCAAATTATACATATTTAAATAGAGAACAGCGTTCCCTGCCAAGGTCATGGCTACCTGGGTCACTGCGACCCAGGTCTTGGCTACACAGGTCATCGCGACCTTTCTCTCCTTCCTAATATTGCACTGACGTGTTCACCCTTCACCTTAGAACAACCAAACACCAGGATTTCTAGGGCCACTATCGGATGATGGAGGCAAATGAGCACACAACCAATTCATGTAATACAACACAGTAGAGTTACGTCCCTTGCCAGGGTAATATTAATACTACGTCTACACCTACTATTGCACTGGGGATGCAAACCGAGATAGAAATATAGTATTATAAAAGTAAACTTAACATATGGTACATAGTTTACATCTGTGTTGATTAGGGAATGGAATAAATAAGTCAAAAATAGGTCAGCAAGGTGTACGACCGAATCACATTGTGCCGATTCCGTGGTCTCAACATACTCCAACCAGAACTCCGAACTGACGAGTGTGAAATGTTGAGCAGCATTGGGCCCAGATCCTAGAGGTATTTGTCCATAGACAGCCTGCAAGCATGCCGTCACACTACTCCAAGCTCATCAACACATGCAGCTCTCCCAATCGTTAATCAATCGTTATCCAATCATTGATCAATCATTGCACAAGGGCTGTCCTGTATCTCCCGTATCTTCGACTGCCACAGCTCTGACAGTGGCAGTGTGGCATGTGTATGTGCTTGACTGCAGCCTACGAATTAATGTACGGGGTACCACAGTGCCCGTTTCCATGGTAACATGGTGCGAGTATCCACAGTAACAATCTCTAGCCTGGGTTGGCGGGCGGGGCAAGGTCTGTGTCACTCTGTCTAGAACTGGTACCACTTTTTGTCCTTGTATCTGCTCATGATCTGGTGTGCTGCTTGAGCGAAACTCTCCGCCTGGGACAACATTTGGGCTGACTTGTCATCTAAGTCGCCAATCTTCTCTCCTCTCTCCACCAAAGCCTGTACAGATAAATATAGTTTGGTTCAGAACAAAATGTTGGACAAAAAAAGGAATCATGGTGTTCTTGAAGTGTTCAGCTATTGCAGCTGAATCAAGGAACAAACCAAGACTGATCCTCCTATTTATTTAATGACCCCTGAATCGCGATATCTTTGTATGTCTGAAAGTGAAAACCCATCCTCATAGTTCCAGTAGTTGAACTTCAAAAACAGCCTATCGGTAATGACACTTCTAAATTCTCAGTACGATTGAGTGCGAGTGAAATAATTAGAAAAGCATACAATATCTGATTTCTGAATCTTGAAGAAAATGAATGTAAACAGGCAGTTCAGAGGGTTGAATGGTTGGTTTGTTGTTTTACGCCGCAGCCAGCAATATTCCAGCTATATGACGGCGGTCTGTAAATAATTGAATCTGGACCAGACAATCCAGTGATTAATATCATGAGCATCGATCCACGCAATTGGGATTGATGACATTCATCAACCAAGTCAGCAAGTCTGACCACCCTATCCCTTTAGTCTCCTCTTGCGACAGGCATAGCATAGTCGTAAGAGGCGACTAATGGGATCGGGAATCATGGGGGTCACCAAAGTAATACACATATTATTGGAGGAAGGTCACAAAAATAAATAAACAGCCGATGCCTAATGTAGACTCACCATCCTGGCCCGAGCGATCTCTCCCCCGATGGCCCCACTCTGTGCCTGCAGGTGCTGCAGCCCACTCCCAGGCACATGCTTAGCCAGGCCCTTCGATGCCTTCCCACTGTTCTCCCCGACTGAAACACAAACACAGCTTGGTCATCCACAGATTTATCTAGACCTGCTCAGAGGCAGGTTTTCTGCAGCAAATGTCATTAAATAATAATGTTTTAAGATTTAGTTTTAAAAATCCGAGTTTTGAACAAAATAATGATTTTTCCCCCAATTTTCCTGCCTCGGGCAGCTTAGCAAGTTGGATAAATCCATGTTCTCAAACAACTGGGGTCATGTGGAGTACACGTCCATTTAGATCATAAGTCATCCTAAGCCTTCGAAATTCATGCTAGTCAGTTAGCCCAAGACTATGTCCACGTCATCCTGGAAGCGTCTTCCATGTAGGGCAGATTTCATTTGCCAGAACAGGAAATAGACACTGGGGGCTAAGTCTGGGCTGTACAGTTAAATCACCCACCCTACAGCCCAAACTTAGCCGCCAGTGACTATTTCCTCTTCCGGCCAATCTGCGGATTTCTATAAAAGTGGTATTAAAAGCTTGAAAGACAAAGGGAGTAAGTGTATTGAAGTGAATGGAGATTATATTGAAAAATAAAATTCCAAAGGATATTCTGCGACTTGGTCTTATATTTAAGTTGAAAAACTTAATGAACGCCCCTCGTATATCGTGACACCTACATAGCTCCTCCCTGTCTAGTGTCGAAGGCCCTCCACTGAACAGGTTCTTGAAGAACCCCTGCTTCGGTGCATCAGGAGTCTCACAGGCCAGGAACAAGTCCCCGAGCATGTCATTTAATGTTTCACTGAAAGAAGAAATACACACTCAGGTCAAAGAGGGTAAACAACAATAACATTATTTTTTTTAAACAACTCACATTTAACTTTCTCATGTTAGACTTGAGACAAACATACTGTGCTTTCAATGTACAACTGTGAGTTCGGTTCTACAGATAACTTAACCTAGCTGAACACTGAGACAGAATCCTTATTTCCTAATCAATCCAAACAGCACTCTCGGCTTAAGATATAAGGCTAAGCAGATGTGGTCAGATGGAGCTCAAAAGTGATGGTGATGTACAATGTCAAGTGCTAGAAAAAGACCCTTTTATGGATTTCAAACGACAGGTTCAAATACCGTATTCGACGTAATAAGCGCCCCGCTCTAATAAGCGCCCATGGCGATATTTGCTAATATATTGGCAAGTGAACAATCCCAATTAGCACCCCTTCCGATTGATCAATGTACACAAGACTTATTTATTCGTTTATAATACGCACTCGTGTGTTACATGCACCCTTAATTATGGGCAATTATACAGTATATATACAGTTCAGGCTGTCAGCATAAACCACAAAATTTAACTTTCCACTCTTTTTTTTCCTACCAAAATAATATTCTAATAAGAGCCCCTTATTTCTAATTTTGAGAGCGCCATGGGCGCTTATTACGTCGAATACGGTACGTGTAATTTATTCACTCTGGACAGGGAAACCGGTGACTGAAAACATGAACCATGATCTACACCATCTGCACACAATGACACAGTGAGCAAAGCGTGACGACCCAAACCTATTTAGTCGCCTCCTATGATCAGTGATTCCATGTGCTAGGACCCATTCTAACTTGGACCTCCTTAACATAATATATCCCAGGAATGGGCTTCCCTCCTGTCATGTTCTGTTCATTTGGTTTATCACAACAGTTTAGTATCTTCTGCAAAACTTATATTCCCTCATCAGGATTTTACACAACGCAGAAATGTGCATTCTGTATGCACAAATGTATATTGCATCCTTGTGGAATTGCACAATAATATTCACTGTACCCAATTCTTGACAAGAGTGAGTGAGTTGGGTTTAACGCTGCTTTTAACAGTATTCCAGTTATATCACGGCATGTCAGCTTCATGTGGGAGGAAAGCCCGAAGTGATGCAAGTCTCAGACATTTACCACTTCGGTGAAAGGAAAGGTTTGATCTTAGCTTTTGCAAAATGTATTTAGAAACACGAATAAAACAATCTGGTCATGCATACACTGAAGTTGCCTGAAGTTTCATCTTCATTCAAACATGTAAAAGTCAGAAGAAATGGGTGCATAGTCAGAAAGAAATGCGAACATTAATTACTTGAAGTGTAACCATGGAGTCCTAGATAATTTTTGTCATTAAGCAATATATCAAGTGATTAACCACAGGTCCTCTGTACCCACCCGACCCGATTACCCGTCCCAGCCCTAAACTATGTACTGTCCACACAGAAAGTCAATGCGATCATAGAAATCAATTCGAAATATGCAAAATTCAAACACTACTCTACTGAAGTCGAGTGTTACCTAATATCAGCAGAATAGGTTATTTTCTGAACCTCCGTGGGGGAACACAGATACAAGGCATGACCACTGTTGCTAAAGCAGAATGTTCTGGCTACCCTGAAAACAAACAAAAACACATGAGAACCATATCATAAGACTGGTCAGGGTTAGAAACTAACAGTTTTTGTCCACTAGTCCTTATAATGATAACATATAGCAAAACCCTTAAAACAGGCCAATTTCTACTTGTCCTTAGGATACCTTTACTATTGGGCAGTTTGGTAAGGACTATAGGACAAGTGCCAATTTCTAACACTGCTGGTGGTGTCACAAGTGTTACAACTATTTATGTCCATGACACGATGGCAATATTGAAGGCAGGTCAGACAGTTAACAGTTAACATCAATGCTATCCAGAGCCAAGTCCTGGGAACCTTGAGATTAGCTGTTCTAGTATTAGAATATTGCCAGCATTTAAATCTTACTTTGTAACATTAAGGTTATGGTGAGGTGAGGTGAAATGGGGTTTAACGACTCGTGCAAGATTATTGCATTTATAGTGCGTGCGTGCACTTTCCGGACTAATGCCGATTTTATAGTGCTAGCCAACAGAGATACCATGCCACGGTTTCACATGAATACCCCACTCAGACACAGTATACTGACTCCGAGCCAACCAGCCTTTGTTTTAGCACTTAATGCAGGGCGCCAGGCAGGGTAACAACAAGTTCCATCTTTTAAAGTTTGTTCACGCTCTCAGGCAAGATGTTCTAGCCACTAGGCCATGGAGGGGGTCACAATTAAATTATGACATGGAACCTCAACTGTGAACTGAACCACACTCTCTCTCAACATCCAGTGAAGTAAATGTAATGTATCGAGTTATACAATGGAGTTAAAACAATCAAGTTTAAGGAATGGTGTTTATGTAGTGGACTGTGTGAAATGGTTCAATGGAGGTTATGTAGTGGACTGTGTGCAATGGTTCAATGGAGGTTATGTAGTGGAGGTTGCATAGTGGACTGTGTGAAATGGTTCAATGGAGGCTATGCAGTGGAGGTTGCATAGTGGACTGTGTGCGATGGTTCAATGGAGGCTATGCAGTGGAGGTTGCATAGTGGACTGTGTGAAATGGTTCAATGGAGGTTATGTATTGGAGGTTGCATAGTGGACTGTGTGCGATGGTTCAATGGTGTTTATGTAGTGGACTGTGTGAAATGGTTAAATGGAGGTTATGTAGTGGACTGTGTGAAATGGTTCAATGGAGGTTATGTATTGGAGGTTGCATAGTGGACTGTGTGCAATGGTTCAATGGAGGTTATGTAGTGGAGGTTTCACAGTGTACTGTATGCAATTGTTCGATGGAGGTTAGGCAGTGGACTGTGTGCAATGGTTCAATGGAGGTTATGTAGTGGAGGTTTCACAGTGTACTGTATGCAATTGTTCGATGGAGGTTAGGCAGTGGACTGTGTGCAATGGTTCAATGGAGGTTATGTATCGGAGGTTGCGTAGTGGACTGTATGCAATGGTTCAATGGTGGCTATGCAGTGGAGGTTGCATAGTAGACTGTGTGCAATGGTTCAATTGAGGCTATGTAGTGGAGGTTTCACAGTGGACTGTATGAAATGGTTCAATGTAAGTTATGCAGTGGACTGTATGCAATGGTTCAATGGAGGTTATGTAGTGGAGGTTTTCACAGTGGACTGTATGCAATGGTTCAATGGAGGCAATGTAGTGGAGGTTTCACAGTGTACTGTATGCAATGGTTCAATGGAGGTTATGTAGTGGAGGTTGCATAGTGGACTGTATGCAATGGTTCAATGGAGGTTATGTAGTGGAGGTTTCACAGTGTACTGTATGCATTGGTTCAATGGAGGTTATGTAGTGGAGGTTTTCACAGTGGACTGTATGCAATGGTTCAATGGAGGTTATGTAGTGGAGGTTTCACAGTGGACTGTATGCAATGGTTCAATGGAGGTTATGTAGTGGAGGTTTCACAGTGTACTGTATGCAATGGTTCAATGGAGGTTATGTAGTGGAGGTTTCACAGTGTACTGTATGCAATGGTTCAGTGGAGGTTATGTAGTGGAGGTTTTCACAGTGGACTGTATGCAATGGTTCAATGGAGGCTATGTAGTGTAGGTTTCACAGTGTACTGTATGCAATGGTTCAATGGAGGTTATGTAGTGGAGGTTGCATAGTGGACTGTGTGCAATGGTTCAATGGAGGTTATGTATTGGAGGTTGCATAATGGACTGTGTGCAATGGTTCAATGGAGGTTGCACAGTGGACTTCATGCAATGGTTCAATGGAGGTTATGTAGTGGAGGTTTCACAGTGTACTGTATGCAATTGTTCGATGGAGGTTAGGCAGTGGACTGTGCGCAATGGTTCAATGGAGGTTATGTAGTGGAAGTTTCACAGTGTACTGTATGCAATTGTTCGATGGAGGTTAGGCAGTGGACTGTGTGCAATGGTTCAATGGAGGCTATGTAGTGGAGGTTTCACAGTGGACTGTATGCAATTGTTCAATGTAAGTTATGCAGTGGACTGTATGCAATGGTTCAATGGAGGCTATGTAGTGGAGGATTTCACAGTGGACTGTATGCAATGGTTCAATGGAGGCTATGTAGTGGAGGTTTCACAGTGTACTGTATGCAGTGGTTCAATGGAGGTTATGTAGTGGAGGTTTCACAGTGTACTGTATGCAATGGTTCAATGGAGGCTATGTAGTGGAGGTTTCACAGTGTACTGTATGCAACGGTTCAATGGAGGCTATGTAGTGGAGGTTTCACAGTGTACTGTGTGCAATGGTTCAATGGAGGCTATGTAGTGGAGGTTATTAGCAAGGTGTACCTGTAGTCTGTGAGGGGCAGGAAGTCCACGTCTAGGATCGGCTTCAGACTTGGGAGACTGAATGCCATAATATGACCATTTGCTACATAACACATCAGGCACACGCTATCTGTAACACAGGATAACATGCAATGTACATTCTGTCCAGTTCATACATTAATATTTAAAGTCACAAATAAACAAACTCTTAAAATAAAGCTTACAAGAGACAATTCCCACAAATGATGATTACGTCTGCACTTCTGAAGAAGGTAATGGACAGAGACAGGTTTGTTCCAGTAATCAGGGAGAGAATGTCTTTGCATTTGTAATGAATTATCTCGCATCCATTGCTGCTTTTGGCTTGAAATGTAATGCAGGTGGTCTTTTTTTTAATTCAACTTCCTTATTTAGAATATTCCATATAAATAAATAAATCCACCCCACTTTTAGTTTTAGATATTCTTCACATATTTTGCAAGTTTGATTATGAACTAACATCTTGTCTCTGGAACGAAAATATTTTACAACAAATAACAGTTGTTCAATTATCTTAATAAAATATAATGAAAAAAGGAGCCCACAGACACTCTTCATTTTCAGAAGTGCAGTAATCTACAAATACAAACTACAAATAATATAGACTTGCATGGTTTCTATTGGATATATTTGTTTTAGTTTCAATATGACTAAATATGAACCATAGGAGGATGACTCAACTGTGAAGTCCATAATGAGGAGACATGTATACACAATGCTCAATAAGTATGTGGGTCCAGATTTGGGGTATTGGTCACGGACATGGGGAGGCGCACCCACTTTTTGAAACAAACATAACAAAAAACAAACACAAAACACAATCATTTCATGAATGATTAGCATTCTTCTGGCATGATTAATGTTAAGTGCAATCCCTATGAACAAAATGCTGTATCTCCACTTAATAGTTTCTGTTCTCTGACCCATAATTAGCCCCTGATCTCGACAAATTTAAAAACCTATCAAAATTGCACTTAATTTGACAAAGCACTGTCAGGGCACCAAACTTGGTAAAAATCCATCACAAGTTGTTCCAGATACTATCTGGTTGGTTGGTTTGTTGTTTAACGCCGCACTCAGCAATATTCCAGGTATATGACAGCAGTCTGTAAATAATCGAGTCTGGACCAGACAATCAAGTGATTGATTTCATAAGCATCGAACCACGTAATTGGGATCGATGACATGCATCAACCAAGTCAGTGAGCCTGACCATCCGATCCCTTTAGTCGCCTTTTACGACAAGCATAATCACCTTTTATGGCAAGCATGGGTTGCTAAAGACCTATTCTACGCCGGAATCTTCACGGGTCCGCGATACTGTCTCGAAACTACAAATGACTATAACTGCTACTTTCAAAACAACTGATTCCAGCATACTAGGACAATATACAAAGCATACCTCTAACAGCCACCACTTCAGCTCGCACAACAAAAGAAGTCTCTGTAATTTTCACTTTGTAAGCACATGTTTGTGATGGAAGGGACATAACTCTTCCCTGCTTCTCAGAACAGATGATGACAAACTGGCGATCGCTCATCTCTGTTGATGATGTTGGAGATATTCGTGGTTTATTTGATAATGACATTTGCCCTGGAAATAAAAAATGTTTGATTATTTATTTGAAAATTCCAAAGTACCTGGGAAGAAAACTTATATTTTGTCACAAATCACTATATGGTTGATTTATTTCTTTAAGTTCAACTCTAACATACATGCTGATAAAGCAACAATGAAAAAAGCAACTGATAACCAACCCTCAATCTAAGATGGGGTGAGTGAGTGACTATGGTTTTACGCCGCTTTTAGCAATTTTCCAGCAATATCACGGCGGGGGACACCAGAAATGGGCTTCACACATTGTACCCATGTTGGGAATCGAACCCGGGTCTTCGGCATGACGAGCAGCGCTTTAACCTATAGGATACCCGACCGCCCCAATCTAAGATGGAACAGAAACGAAGCACCTAGGGCAGTGCCCAGACGAAAATAGGGCACTCAAGGAGGCTTGTTTTGTTTGTCAGTTTATTGTTTAACGCCGCACTCAGCAATATTCCAGCTATATGAAGGAGGTCTGTAAATAACCAAGTCAGAACCAGACAATTCAGTGACTGACATCATGAGCATCGATCCACACAATCAGGTCGATGACATGCATCAACCAAGTTAGCAAGCCTGGCCAACCGATCCCGTTAGTCGCCTCTTATGACAAATATAATCGCCTTTAATTGCAAGCCTGGGTTGCTGAAAACCTATTCTACCCCGGATCTTCACGGGTCGGATTTGAGTAATATAAATGTAAATTTGAGCATCATATTAGTGCTGAGTAATACAAATCACACACACACAAAAAAATTTGGGAAGTGTAAATTTGGAATTATTTTTGTTCCAAGTTTTGTTGAAAATAGGATCACTGGATCCAGGATAAAATAAATTAAAATAATGGACTTGGCAGTTTAAATTGTGATTGGTACCAATTCTAAGCAAGCATGGAGCCCGTTTAATGAGGCTCAACACCTACAGATCATTATTTCAGTAACATGACAACACAAAGATTTTAATTTGGGAGGAATTTCAATAATATTCCCAGTATAGACATCTACCAACAAGCATGGGTATAGTGTTGACAGAACATGGTTCATAATCACGGATTCAAACCCGCAACCAGCGGATCCTGGAACACAACTCTGCCAAGCGAAACGCCATGCCTCAGACCACTGGGCCCCTAGTGTCTCCCTAACGGGGGACATAGCAGGACATCAAATTTACTATAAACTAAAAGACAGCAACATAAGTTACTTTGTATGCCAATATTACTATTTTTGAGAGCCTTCTCATTGCTATCTCGGTTCTCTCTCTGCGGTGACTCTTTCCAGGTCTCGGACACTGATGGTATCAACACGCCATTACAGTCCAGAAACGACATCGCTAATATTGCTCCTTTTAAGCGGAAGATTGTCCCTGAAATGATCAAATAAGTTTAAGTATTATGTGTCACTACAACATTATACAGTGACAAGATTGAAGTACTGTCAACCCATTTTTCAACGTATGCTTAATTCTCAGAAAGTTGTTATATCATCATCAATTCTTCATGGTTCATTGTTTGGACAAGACAATCTAGTGATTGATATCAAGAGCATCATTCAACACAATTAGTATATGATGACATGCATCAACAGAGTCAGCACCTACTCCAAGACTAGACACTCGGTATGCACTATCACTAGACGGGACAGTCAGTATGCTCCACCCTAGACCAGACAGTCAGTATGCCCCACGCTAGACCATACAGTCAGTATGCCCCACGCTAGACCAGACAGTCAGTATGCTCAACCCTAGACCAGACAGTCAGTATGCCCCACGCTAGACCAGACAGTCAGTAAGACCCACGCTAGACCAGACAGTCAGTATGCCCCACCCTAGACCAGACAGTCAGTATGCACCACCCTAGACTAGACAGTCAGTAAGACCCACGCTAGACCAGACAGTCAGTAAGACCCACGCTAGACCAGACAGTCAGTATGCCCCACCCTAGACCAGACAGTCAGTATGCACCACCCTAGACCAGACAGTCAGTAAGACCCACGCTAGACCAGACAGTCAGTATGCCCCACGCTAGACCAGACAGTCAGTAAGACCCACGCTAGACCAGACAGTCAGTATGCTCCATCCTAGACCAGACAGTCAGTATGCTCCACCCTAGACCAGACAGTCAGTATGCCCCATGCTAGACCAGACAGTCAGTAAGACCCACGCTAGACCAGACAGTCAGTATGCCCCACCCTAGACCAGACAGTCAGTATGCCCCACCCTAGACTAGACAGTCAGTATGCCCAACCCTAGACCAGACAGTCAGTATGCTCCACCCTAGACCAGACAGTCAGTATGCTCCACCCTAGACCAGACAGTTAGTATGCTCCACCCTAGACTAGACAGTCAGTATGCCTCACCCTAGGCCAGACAGTCAGTTTGACCCACGCTAGACTAGACAGTAAGTATGACCCACGCTAGACCAGACAGTCAGTATGCACCACTCTAGACCAGACAGTCAGTATGCCCGACCCTAGAGTAGACAGTCAGTATGCCCCACCCTAGGCCAGACAGTCAGTATGACCCACGCTAGACCAGACAGTCAGTATGCCCCACCCTAGACTAGACAGTCAGTATGCCCCACCCTAGGCCAGACAGTCAGTATGACCCACGCTAGACTAGACAGTAAGTATGACCCACGCTAGACCAGACAGTCAGTATGCCCCACCCTAGACTAGACAGTCAGTATGCCCCACCCTTGGCCAGACAGTCAGTATGACCCACGCTAGACCAGACAGTAAGTATGACCCACGCTAGACCAGACAGCCAGTATGCTCGACCCTAGACCAGACAGTCAGTATGCCCCACCCTAGACCAGACAGTCAGTATGCCCCACCCTAGACCAGACAGTCAGTATGCCCCAGCCTAGACCAGACAGTCAGTATGCCCCACCCTAGACCAGACAGTCAGTATGCCCCAACCTAGAATATACAGTCAGTATGCCCCAGCCTAGACCAGACAGTCAGTATGCCCCACCCTAGAATATACAGTCAGTATGCACTCTCACTAGACCAGTCAGTATCACTATCACTAGACTAGATCAATAGTATGCCCCATCCTAGACTAGACAGTCAGTATGCACTATCACGAGACCAGATAGTCAGTATGAACTATCACGAGACCAGATAGTCAGTATTCACTATCACGAGACCAGATAGTCAGTATGCACTATCACGAGACCAGAGAGTCAGTATGCACTATCACGAGACCAGATAGTCAGTATGCACTATCACGAGACCAGATAGTCAGTATTCACTATCACGAGACCAGATAGTCAGTATGCACTATCACGAGACCAGATAGTCAGTATGCACTATCACGAGACCAGATAGTCAGTATGCACCTACCACTTGGGGACACAATGACTGGCTGTGTCAGCCTCTGTTCCCCTGTGGGGGGCAGATTCAACACTATCACAATGACTGAGCCCAGGCTTGTTCCCACCCACAGGCATGGGCACGTGAAGTTGTCTGCAAGAAACACATACATGTGAAACAAAATGTCAAACACATCCAATTCATTTCTATGAACCTAAACCAAGAGCAAGTAACTAAAGATTCATAGTTACTCAAAGAAATCATTTAGTTTCATTGGTAAACAAAACGTTAAAAGAAGGCTTTATTGAAACCAAAGTCATATTTATTTTATAAAGTGTACAGAAAGAGACACCTTATCAAACAAATCAATCTTCAGTTGAATTTCTTTTGCTTTGAGAAAATAAACAATACCAACAATTACAAATATACTTTTGAATTATGAAAAAAATTCAGAGCTGCAGAAACAACATGGAATGTAGTGAGAAAATAAGGAAATTGGAGTATCCAAAATGGTTTGTTTTCTTTGTTTGTTGTTTAACGCCGCACTCAGCAATATCCCAGCTATAAGACGGCGGTCTGTAAATAATCGAGTCTGGACTAGACAATCCACTGATTGATATCATGAGCATCGATCCACGTAATTGGGATACGATGATGTGCATCAAACAAGTCAGGAGCCTGATCACCCAATCCCGAAAATCTCCTCTTACCACAAGTATAGTCACCTTTTACGGCAAGCATGGGTTGCTGAAGACCTATTCCACCCCGGATCTTCATGGGTCATTTTGACAAAATTGAGAGGTGCAGAAACAACATGTAGGACGTAGTGAGGAAATTGAGGAAATTTGAGTATCCAAAATGATAATCACTTCCATGCTTTCAAATAGACAAAATAGAACTTAAAACAACACACAAAGCTTTAGATATGTATGGCAACACAAAATATTAGCTCACAATCATTCAAGCACCGAAAAAAGGAAATAATCCCAAACTAGGGCTGCAGGCCACCTGTGAATCTTCTCCCTCAGCTCATAGTTGAACCATTAAAGAGTTCAGTCAGCTAATCACATAAGGAATCAGAACCCTGACAGTATTAAGTCGAGAAGATATCCATTGTAGATGAAGTAGGTAAAAAGAGAATTTGTACAGTGACAGTCTCCACACACAAGGCACTGTCTTGTGTCAACCAGATTTCAACAGCCAGTGAGCGATCAAATGTTATTTTAAGCAAAACGGTATTATTCCAGCTGTATCGTGTACAATCACAATAAAATACTGGGGACCGGTTATACTCTGGGCACCACATAGGGGTGACAAGCATGGGGTACTGGGGATTGGTTATTCTCTGGGCCCCACATAGGGGTGACAAGCATGGGGCACTGGGGACCAGTTATACTCTGGGCACCACATAGGGGTGACAAGCATGGGGCACTGGGGACCGGTTATACTCTGGTGCACCACATAGGGGTGACAAGCTTTGGGTACTTGGGACAGGATATACTCTGGGCACCACATAGGGGTGACAAGCATGGGGCACTGGGGACAGGTTATACTCTGGGCACCACATAGGGGTGACAAGCATGGGGTAATGGGGACCAGTTATACTCTGGGCACCACATAGGGGTGACAAGCATGGGGCACTGGGGACCGGATATACTCTGGGCACCACATAGGGGTGACAAGCATGGGGCACTGGGGACCGGATATACTCTGGGCACCACATAGTGGTGACAAGCATGGGGCACTGGGGACAGGTTATACTCTGGGCACCACATAGGGGTGACAAGCATGGGGTATTTGGGACCAGTTATACTCTGGGCACCACATAGGGGTGACAAGCATGGGGCACTGGGGACCGGATATACTCTGGGCACCACATAGGGGTGACAAGCATGGGGCACTGGGGACCGGATATACTCTGGGCACCACATAGGGTAGACAAGCATGGGGCACTGGGGACCGGATATCCTCTGGGCACCACATAGGGGTGACAAGCATGGGGCACTGGGGACCGGATATACTCTGGGCACCACATAGGGGTGACAAGCATGGGGTACTGGGGACTGGTAATACTCTCGGTACGACATAGGGGTGACAAACATGGGGCACTTGGGACAGATTCTACCTGAAATGTCCACGGATTAAGTATTTGATCAGAGACTATAAGGCAGTCATGACATCAAAAGAAATTTAACCAATCCATAAAACCTCTCTCAGTTCCTGAAGTCAGGATGGTGTTTCTGCAGTTGATCACGCCACTGCTCAACCTACAGTACCCGTAATCCTTGAAATTCAAAGTTGTTACATCAGCCCATTTGCTCACCAAACCCACCGAGCTCCACTGGCATGGCGATAACATTGAAAGATCTAAAACTCAAAATGATAATTTCCAAAGATGCAAATCAGCCACAACTTTGATAGTTTCCGTGTGGAGACTGACATACAATACCTGAAGCCGAGCCCAACACATACAGCCACACAAGCAGTGAGCGACACAGGCACCAGCCACAGAACACATTCAGATTAGTAATCCTGATAGCGACCTTCTCTACCTGTTTTCCGGGTATACGAGTCAGCAAACATCAAGGACTGGATGGCTTCTTTCGAAACATTCTCTAGGCTAGACATGCTGGAACTCCGAGATCGTGAAAACGAAACGCCGTCCGATTTATCTGTCGAACAAAATCAACATGGTGATGCATAGAGGAAATTGGTTTTAAGAATGCGTATTTCAGCTGGAAGGGGTCTCAAAGTTGTAGCATTTATTAAGCAAGTCAATGTGATTATATTGTCATATTACAAGTAATAGTATTTGTGGTAGTGTTTAAAATAGAAGATCACCAGCTTAAAATTGCCATCGAAAGACATTCAAGAGCTGATATTTTTGTAAATGTTACTGAATGAATATATTGACAGATTATGCATTAGGGAAGCAGTTTACACTAATTTGAAGATGCTGGTATTGAAGTGCAAAGATGAAAATGGAGAAAAAATCAACACATCACAACATTTTCAAAATGTGGACATAGGACAAATATTTTGAAACCCCTTGTCATATACATGTCACACAAAAATCAGCCACATAAAATTAATTCCACCAACTTGCAGTAATTTCATAATCCCATAAGTAACACAATTTCAAAAAGAATTTAAAGGATGTTTTTAATCAAATTTGCATTGCAAATGGAATGAGAATATATTTCACTTTAAAGTAATTTAAAGTGACATTTTAAATCAAGTTTGCATTGCAAATGGAAATAGAATACTTACAAAAGATTTAAAGATTTTATCAGCCAAAAATACATTTTAAAACCATAATATTATAAATTTCATTTGAATTATATGGAACATTAAACGAGACATATTTCAGTACTAAGTAGAAAGCAGTATCTTGGATGACACTGACATGTTGAAACTAGGTGTACAAATTGATAAACAGGATATGACCCTCCAAGTGTAGTGTTGATCAGAATATGTTGGCTGGATTTCCATCTTATAGACACTGTTGTCTGAGAAACATCTTCATTTAATTGCTGCAGTTTCATAATGTATTTTTGTGAGGGGAGAAAACAATTGGTTTTAACCACTGACTTTGAAAGAACCAGTTGTACTCAATTAATTAGTGGGTTCCCAGTATACACAAGTGACAGAGTTATCCCCCTTTGACAAGTTTGGCTCCTGATTTTAAATTGTGGTTGCTTCAAATGAACACCACACTGAAGATCATTTCTGGAATGAAAGGTTTCTAATTGTTGCCTTGTTTAGTGACCATGTCTTAAATTGGGCAATACAGCTGTTTTGTTTACACGCCATGTTGGATTTGATCCCACTGTTCTGTAGGCTATCATTACAGGGTTAGAAAGAAGGCATGGAAACCAATGATTTCCTGTCATTACCCTCATGCTAAGTCTCCAGATTCAAACACCTTAGCAGCAAATCAGGGTAGTGAAGGTTTTCATTCTATCTTATATTTCTTTAGTATGTTACAATTAACATACTATAAAGGTAAACTTAATCGGATATGCCACATGCCCATGGCTTGAAGTATGCAAAGATGGGGCGGAGGCCATGGGGACAGGGGGTAGGTTCTGTGAACCTATCACTGATTGACTTTCATCTGATAGTGAAGTTAACAAATCCAAACAATTACTTTTCAAAAGGCAAGTGAGTGAGTGAGTGAGTGAGTTTGGTTTTACACCGCTTTTAGCAATATCTCAGCAATATCACGACAGGGGACACTAGAAATGGGCTTCACACATTTGTAACCATGTCGGGAATCGAACCCGGGCCTTCGGCATGATGAGCAAACGCTTTAACCACAAAGCTACCCGACCGCCCCTCAAAGGCAAGTATGATGCACATGGAAGAACTTGCATATAAACTTCCTGTCGTGTAAATACTATCGGAACAATATTTTAAGACAAAAACAATTTTTAAAGATGGTTTCAAACGCAACAACTGAACAAAATTCTAAAAATAGGTAAATTTGGTAGAAATGATTAAAATTTGCACAAATTTAATTCAGTGTATTAGAAGTATCTCACAATTTAGGAAATGCTAAAATAATGAACAAAGCTTGAATTAGTGAGGAGAGAGCTTTACTTTATTGACCTGCTGTACTTTACTTTATGACGTACCCTCTTCAGCTTAACTTGGACATACCAACTATCAGTTCATCCCACATAATTCTGGCCAATTGCATACATAAATGCCCCCAAAACAAGTATATTTATTTTTTTCAGCCATAATTATTAATGCTGGTAATTTCATGAGTGTCTTCCAAAGTCAATACACTTATGAGAACATTTCCTGAAATTAGAATCTTTTGTATTATGAAACTGCAGCATAACAACCATATATAATGACACATCACCTCTATGAAACGACAAGTGCCATTGCATCACACCTGTAATCAACAGGTGCATCCAGGTAAACAACAGGTAATGAGAGCTATCAACATGCTTGGAGGAGGTGATATGAGTTTTACAACTTCTGGTGGTCCATCAAGTTCATTCCACTTTCTTGTCAACAATATCAAGAGGATCTGTTAGGGTTTTTCCAGATGACTGGGCCTGGATGTACTGCGATTTACCAAATGACATTAATGAGCACCCTAACAGGTCCTCGAAACTACCACGTGCAACTTTAAGAGATTTTAGTATGCACAAATGCAACAGAGAATTGTTTTCAGGAGAAAAACAAATTGTACTGTACAGGTAGGCAAATTTCAATTTCTTTTTTCTATTTTTCTAGTCTGTACCGTACCTAGACATACAACATGAAATACATGCAATGAAAACAAGAATTCTACCCTGGTTAAATCTATAGGTTACATCTATGATCGATGACTGAAGTGATGGGGAGGGGAATGACTTTTCTTCGATCTTTTAACCCAAATACAGAGTACCTTTTAAGAGTTTATTCATCTGATGAATTTAAAGATTCAAATATTCAAATATATATCCTAATCTCTAAAACTGGAGTTGACTGATATTATTTATTAAATAACATATTCAACCAATCGCCCTATTATTGATTCTTTAGTTCGACTAATGATGTCTCTGCCCAATGACTCACAGCATTATGATTTGTGTGTTTGTTGTTTAACGCCACACTCAGCAATATTTCAGCTCTGTGACGGCGGTCTGTATATAATCAAGTCTGGGCCAGACAATCCAGTGATTAATATCCTGAGCAACTGACCATGCAATTGGAATCGGTGACCTGCATCAACCAAGTCAGCGAGCCTGACCTCCCGATCCCGTTAGTCGCCTCTTACAACAAGCATTGTTGCCTTTTACAGCAAGCATTGGTTGCTGAAGACCTACTGTACCCAGGATCTTCACGGGTCCAGTTAATCATGTGTTAGTGTACTACTATCAATGGGGGTCACCTATTTTAAATGGAATTTAGCAGGGTTTTACGTGCCACACAAATGTACCAAATGGACGCAGAAAAAGAATATACTGCATCCCGGGGGACACACAATAATATTCATTGTACCTACAGTGCATCAAGAACAGTAATGGGTGTCTGTCATTTCATACATCAGTTATGACCACTGTCCACATGATCATTGATTCATTCCAGGCTCCCAAGTAATTTTCTAAACGTACAGTACACTACACCATTTCATCAGCTTACAGGACCCTCGTGTTACCTGCAAAGACCCTTAAAATTAATTATTGGGGGTCCTAGTTCCCTGGACCCCTAGTTTTGTGAGCCAAGGCAAAAACCTGATTCAGTATACAAGAAGCTTATCACTAAAGTATATGAACATTATTGGTTGCTGGGAACCAAGTCTAACCTGGAATTCACATGGGTGTGTGTGTGTGTGTGTGTGTGTGTGTGTGTGTGTGTGTGTGTGTGTGTGTGTGTGTGTGTGTGTGTGTGTGTGTGTGTGTGTGTGTGTGTGGAAGGGGGGGGGGGGGGGGGGGGGCAAGAATATGATCTTCAACTGGAGACCAAGAAGTGATATGATCTTGTTATGTGTGATCATATAATAATGTTGCTCTTGCAACAAGATCGCTATCAGATGACAGATTACTTGAAGACAGAAGCCTGCAATAATGACTGATATAAATTCTTTTTAATAGAAATGACTGTCACTCCATCAAGTTTGTAAATTAATACATCTTATTCTACATTTAAATGCTGTAATAGTGTTGTCCTCATTGTTTATTAACATATTGTATTTATAATGACATTGTTTCTCATTTGTTTTGTTATTATTGTTTGTCATCACTGTTTGTCATTGCAGTACATGATTGTTCTCTGTCATTAATGTTGGTCATTATAGTTTATCACCGTTTGTTATTGCTGGTCATTACTGGTCATCACTGTTTGTAATTATTGTTGTACATATTATGTCATTGTTTATCATTATTGTTTGTCATTAAAGTTTATTATTGTTGTTTGTCATTGTGTCATCATTGTTTGTCATTATTGTTTGTCATTGTGTGTCATCATTGTTTGTCATTGTGTGTCATCATTGTTTGTCATTGTGAGTCATTACTGTTTGTAATCATTGTTGTACATATTATGTCATTGTTCATCATTATTGTTTGTCATTAAAGTATATTATTGTTGTTTGTCATTGTGTCATTATTGTTTGACATTGTGTGTCATCATTGTTTGTCATTGTGTCATTATTGTTTGTCATTGTGTGTAATCATTGTTTGTCATTATTGTTTGTCATTATTGTTTGTCATTGTGTGTCATCATTGTTTGTCAATGTGTGTCATCATTGTTTGTCATTGTGTGTCATCATTGTTTGTCATTGTGTGTCATTACTGTTTGTCATTATAGTTCATCACTGTAATTTGTCACGATTGTTTGCCATCCTCTCTTAATGTTTGTCATTATTGTTTGTAATTGTTCATTGTCATCGCCATCATAATTTCTCATCTTTTTTCATCCTTATTTGTCATGTTTGTTAGCTAAAAATGTTTGTCACAATAATTAGCATAATGAGATCATTTTTCATTAATGTTTATAATTGTTATGTTCACCAATGGAAATCATTGAATGTATGAGGCTAGGGGACACTAACACTGGCTCTCAATCTAGAACTCTTCCAACAGGGCAATCATACTCCAGGGTACAATTTCGGTTGAATATGTCTATTTCTTTTCATTAAAACCAACCCTTCAACAATGTTAACGAAGGTTCAACAGACGTAGGGAGATGACAGTTGTGCGTGTGAAGAGATTGTGATGACAAGGCAATGCCTGGAGATGTGAGGAGAGCATACGCAGACTGAATGTGTTAGTGACATTTCCGGGCTTTGGGCCACACGCAGGTGAGGAGGAGGAGGCTACATATTAAAACCAAAACATGAACCGAACATGGAGCTAGTTTACATATCAATCACCATTTCACCAATAATCCAAAAATACTGAAGTGCTCAAATAGACCATTTGTAACATGTTTGTGTTCAAAAGAGTGAAAAGTTTCATGGAGTTGTTCCATACATATTTTTTTATACAAAATACATAGCCTTTTTTTAAAATAGTTTTATGCACAATGCAGGAATGGCACAAAATTTCATAAAATCTTTTCCGAGAGCATGAGCTATTTGATTTCATGATTAACGATAAATGTGCGATGAATATGTAAATATCAATTTTCCATGCTCAATGAAATTATGAGGAATGCTAACTTGATAAATCCACTGATAGATATGTCACTGCAAAACCAATGGAGTTATTATCAAACAAAAGTCATCAAAACTGTGTATCTCAGTGATAGAAATCTATTAAGCATCTAGAAATGTACAAATAAATACTAGAGGTGGCTTAACATCTGAAACCAAATAAATGTGATTTGCAGAATATTAACTAACTGGTCTGTTGTATTGTTAATGATAAATTAATATTAAAATAGTTAGAGTTCTAATCATGATCTACAATGTGCATGCTTTAACAATAAACATCACGTCTTGATAACAACCACACACATAAAATTGATTGGCAATTAACAAATGGTAAAAATGGTAAAGATATCTTCAATATTTGTTATTGCTTGTTTCGTATAATTTCTCTCAAACAACAGACATGTGACAAACATTAAGAACAAATTCAAAGATATGATATGAACTACCATTTCAAACAATGAAACTGTTGTCATGTAGTGTTGTCAACACAGAAAAGTAGAAACTCAAAATATAAATAGAAAATTAAATATTCATTATCAATCAATTTGTATATCAAAACATCTTTGTATAAGTTACTTATACAATGTATAATTTTAAAACATTTTTCAAAACTTTGATTCCGTTTTTATTTACCGTATTCGACGTAATAAGCACCCCGCTCTAATAAGCGCCCACAGCGATATTTGCTAATATACTGGCTAGTGAACAATCCCAATAAGCACCCCTTCGGATCGTTCAATGTACACAAGACTTATTTATTCGTGTATAATACGCACTCGTGTGTCATATGCACCCTTAATTATAGTCAATAAAATTCTGGAAAAATATATATGTCGTATATAAACATTTCAGGCGGTCAGCATAAACCACCAAATTTATTGTTCAACTCTGTTTTTTCCACTGAAATAATATTCTAATAAGAGCCTCATGTTTCTAATTTTGAGAGCGCCCTGGGCACTTATTACGTCGAATACGGTAATTCTAAATTCTGTTTTATGTATCTTCATTGTTTGAAACCATGTAGTTAACATAGAAATAATTCTAGTCTACTCAAGCACCACGTACAATTGTGTCACCTCTTTATGTGATATCAAACTATCTAAGACACAGATGAAGTCAGTCACCCAGTGAGAATGCTAAGCATGGACACGCCTACCCCGATACCTGACCAATTTCCAACTTTAAGAGTGAAACAAAATGTTTAGAATATTGTCAATTTTGTTAATTTCCAAGCTGGGTTCATCAACAGTATGTTGATGGTTCATATTTAATATCCTTTTCAAATTTTCAGCTGAAAAAGACGTTCATGTTTGGAATCATGATATTTTACACAATAAAAGTGACTTGTTCATTTTACTTGGGGATCATCAAACTTTCAAAGGCAAAATTTCAAAATTTTGAAACATCAGTCAAAATCTACTATCATATGTCAGACTAAAAGGACCTATGGCCATAACAGTCACTTGTTTAGGCATGTACATGCACCCAAAACAGTGTTACGCCAGGCTTTTTTTATTTTTAGGATTACGGATTTTTCAGGGTCCAGGGTTGGAGGAGGGGAAAAAAAGAAAAGAAAAGCCAGATGCATTTTTTTTTAATGCAGAATGCCTCTGGTATATGTTATGAACATATTCTGTAATCAAAATACTGCCATTTGTGACAAGAAAGCCCCTTGTAACAATAAAAATTCTACCACTTACAACACGGGACAACTGTCAAGGGAGGCTATTCATGTTCGGCTTCGAGATCAACAAAGATTGATTATGTATCTCTTTACAACGGTAAATTCATGTTTTTCTTTTAAAAGGTGATGATAACATATAAAATAACTGACTATGTGGCACCGGGGGGGGGGGGGGGGGGGGAAATGGAAATCTGATTTTTTTTTTTTTTTACATTTTCTCAAAAATAAGGGTCGGCGGGTCCGTAATCCGAAAAACATAAAACGCCTGGCCTTACATAAGAAAATTGAATTTTCCATTTTGTTTTTTCAGTGTACAAGAAGGTTCATTCCAACCATTTAAATCACAATGAAAACTGAATTTTTTTAAATGTTACGGCTAAAAATAGGTACATATTCATTTTTAAAAACAAATAATTAGCAAGGGAGATCACTCTTTAAGAAGTGTTCGTAGGTGTTGTCAAATTCTATATAGGTTAAACACTCACCCCCGCACAGACAGGCATGCAAACTCAACATATCTACTCTAAACACATATTTAGTCTACTGATTTAGTGGAATAAACCGGGTTTTTGTGGCCAGGTCATGACGCAACACAATAGGGGAAATTCTGTGGGATGACTCCATTTAGCTGATAATTTGATGTTCTTGTGCTCAAACACCGACCGGACAACAGCATGTTAAAAATTGTCTTCAGTGTTAGCAAAGTCCCAAGATGAAGAAAACACAACCAGAAATATTAAGACTACAATGTGCATATTTGGTGCAAATATATATTTCGATGTGGTTATTGAAAGTGCAAATGTTTAATAAAAGATGCCATGGTTAATGAAGATCAACAAGCCTTCAAAATGCAGATAAAATTCACTGTTACATAGCATTCTTAGAGTGAACAAAAAGTGTTGTATTAAATAAATGGAAACTGCCAAACACAACTACAACACAATTTTCTTCTCAATAATAATATTAAAGAATTATAAAATGCAAAAATTCAGAAAATTAACAATAAAAACTTCATGATGCATCAAGGAAAAGAATGTATTCCAAATGGTACCACTCTATCTTACATATTAAACTCAATACTTCTGTCGCATTGAAACAGATTGTCCACAGTATTGACAAAATATGTAATTAATGTCCAAAATACTAATCTAAATTCTAGGCATTCGATAAATTGCAATCATAAAACTCTCAAAATCCATAAATCAACACCATGCACAGAACAAACAAAAAAATCACTAATTCATTTTGTTTCCACTTCTATCTAAAACAATTATCAATCAAAAAAGATTCTTCCTTTTTTTTTCGCTACGGTCTACATCCAACTGAATGTTCAAAAGAAAAAATTGTACAAATCCTAGTACAGTTAAGACATTCATCTTGGGAACGTTTGCAGAGACTGAAAGAGTTAGTTCATTTAGCACCTCCTCCATTTGCGTGTTCCTCCATTGACGCGAAGCTCTGCGCCTTCTGTATTTTGGCCCTAGTGGTACCTTGTGACTTGGTCCGTTTCAACTCGGGATGAGGTTTCTTTTGCTTTAAGCTTGTAGGACTCATACAAACACCATTAATCTAGAAATTAATTAAAAACCAGGCACTAGTTATTCTTGGTGGCTTTTGCTCCCATTTGGAATAAAAGAAACCACAAAATTGTAAAAACTACAGAAACAAAACAACTTAAGTTCATCAACATGGCAAAACCGGAATTTGGGTTGTTTTTGCCAAGCATGACAAACCTTTGAATAAAAATCAAACAAATTGAAGGAAAACCTCATGCAGTTACAACAACACATGCTATTGCAAAACGAAACAAATCAGGCCGAAAAAATAACATTGTTAAACCTATATGGTCAAGGATTTGCTTGTATGCTTTCAGTACAAGTAGTCTTGTGCAACACTTTTCAAATTTTTAGACAAATTGAAAAAATTAATTGAACTCTATTAAAGCAAAATATCTGGTTTTACTACTAGACAAGTTAATTTAACTCAATGTTATATCTAAGTTTCGGTTGGAATCTCTACAGACAATCAGTCTTAATCCTTATTTACTTCAAATAATTAAAACTTAAAATTACATTCGTATTCCTTGGGATACAATTCTTGTCACGAGTCGAAAAGTTGCCATAGACAGAAAAGGTCTCCATAGCTTCCAAGTATATCCTTGACCACTCAATAACTTGTGCAGTGTTGTAAAAAGCCAAAGCAAGAAAGAGTGGAAGCCACTTATCACTGGCCATGAGCGCCTCAGTGCAGTTACGAAGCTAACAATAGTGGTCATACCCTGAAAAGGCAGGAGAGGGAGAAATCACGTCAAGGTTAGCAGACAATGTGATGAGACGACAAAATCATCAGGTCAAAACAGTGCATTTATCAATCTCCTCCAGAAAACTTCTAGTGAATAAAAATTCTCAAAATGAACAAAAGGCGTAAAAACATGACAAAACTCGCTCAAAAAAAAAAATCAGTCACAGAGTTACCTAATTTTTTGCCTTGGAAAAGGTCTACTAAGCTTATTCGCCGGGAAAGGGGCTTTTTTCCGTTTTCCCGTAAGTCAATGACATCTGCTCTAGCCTGGTCTCTCCATCCCCTTGTCCTATCCCGCTCCACATGAAAAGCGTCGTCATCACCGTCAGCTTCACTGGAGCGTGGTTTGGCACCCATTGAACGTATTTTGGTACTCATTTTCCGCAAGAAACCCTTCCCGCTGGCATCCACAGAATCACATTCCTTCCCCTCCGCCGTCGGTGACTGTTCCACACCCAAACTCATCTCAGTCTCATCTGCCAAAAACACTGTGACCTGATTCTCATGACTATCAGCGACCTCCAAACGTACAGTTTCTCGTGGACTGTCACTATCAGATTTGTTATGATGACTACAAGAATCCTTTTCCTTCGTCCCCCTTCCTTTGTAGGAATTCCGGATCCTTTTGATAAATGACTTCTTATTTCCTTGGTTGCTAGGCAAAGCACTAAGGTCAGGGTCTGAAGATGACCTTCGGACCAGTTTGCGGGTTTTTAATAATACTTGATCATCTCGAATTTTCGTTGTGTCTGACATACACTTCTTCATAGCTGGTTTCTGACTTTCCAGCAGTGGATCAGGGCCACTTGAATCAGGGTCATGAATTGGTGGTGTCGTGTCACCATCATCTAAACCTTCAGAAGCCGAGGTGTTACTGACAACGTTTTGAGATGGTTCCTGTTTAGGCTCTCTCCTACCAGACTGACTGTGTGCTTTAGGTCTGAATGGGGCAAGAGTGGCCCCTGTTTTATCAGAATTCAAACTATTGTTAAACAGCGGGTCGCCTGGTTGGACAACAATTTCATACGGAGAAAATGGCTCATTTTGTAACGGAAACACATTTGAGTCGATTGAACACTCCGAGATGACCTTAAGGTCGCCTGAAGTTGCTCGATGTTTGGGTGGAGGGGGTCGTGGGGGAGGGGGGTTGGCCCCTCCTTTAGAATCATCTTTTTTCTTTGATCTCGGAGCTGGTACTGGGGAGGTTACAAACATCGAGGGAGGCGAGGACTGAAATTAACATCACAACGAAAACACAATAAAATTAAACAAAAGAACAAGGAAAACGATGTTCATGCAAAAGAAACAATAACCAAAGCTCTGCCGATTCAACCTATGTGCTGGTCACAACTGTTTACATGACAAAGTGAACACGAAAGAGAATTCACCATCAAGTATTCAAATTGTTAAATCATAAGTGTTAAAACACAAACGTCTAGGAACAACATATAACTATAACATATTATTAATGAATTAAAATATTCTCTAAAATTAAAATTATTTTCATTCAGCTTTATCGAAATAATTTTATTCTCTAAAACATGCCAATTTGACAAAAGAATTTGTTTTGATATAGAACCAGCATTTAAAGGCTGAAATTTAACAAAAGTGTTCATATCGACTTTCAAAATATCTAAAGAGTCAAATTGAAGCTCAAAAAAATCCAATTTTCCATATTTGAAAGTTTTTGTATGAAACAGTTAAAACAGCACAAGGCTGCAAAGGCAATTAACCCTGCCTCCAAAATAATAATAAGCTACAGCAGACTGTTAGGACATAGAAAGATGGGAACTGAAACTAACAAATTAAAATCAGCCTTACACTAGGAATCACAACATAGTCAGTGAGTGCAAAAGCATGAAATGACTATCAATTAATTTCATAAACAATACAAACTCATCATAGGAAAAAACCAAAACAAGTCTGCAAAACTAAGAATCAAATACTGTCATTAGTAGCAACATTACTAAATTATTCATCAACTAAACAATATTCCAAATCAATGTCTCTTCCATAAATGGAATTATTATAATATATATATATAGTAAAAATCAGTATCCATTCATCAAGCAGATAAACTTACAAATGTAAAACTATGATTTCAGAAAAAATTCAATATGCAACTTCATGAAGGAGACTTTCTGTTCTTAAGATGTTATTCAGAATTATGATATTAATATTGAGAAGAATGTTCAGACATTTCTTTTACAATAATGCTTCATATATCTAACATCCATAAGCGTACCGTTCTACAAGTACTGCCATTCGCTGTGAGAGTTTGTTAGTTCTTAAGCATTTTAGCAATGCTGATGTAATGTTTTGCAAATCCAGAAAAAGATGAAATATTAAATTAGATATTAAAAATTAAAATTTAAAATTAGATCCAGTTTGGTCCTTCTCGATGACACACCTGATCTGTTGTTGGCGATTTTGATTCCTCAGAATTCTGACCAACACCTTCAGCATTCTGTGGCTTTTTTCCACGTGGAGATCGAGGCGCCCTCTGGTAGGGGTCCATGGAACCTGGAGAAAATATTACATTTTCATCACCACCTTTGTCAAAAGTACTTAGTTCATGGCAACTAGGTGCTACTGTCATCCATAATGTTTAACACTATCATGACATTAGGTAATATCTCACAGCATTAACTAATAAAGTCTAAAATACCTCACACATTGATTTTTCTAGATTTCTACATTTATTATCACATGTGTGAGTGTGCAATCAACACTAAATTTTAATTTCAATTTTTTAATGGTATTGCCGAGTCAAAATTGTTTGGTCGCTTCTTTCACATACATGTATACTGCACACAGTGAAAATGCATAATCGACTCGAAATCAGAAAGATGTTTTTCTGCTAATATCCATCTCCAAATACATCAAATATGATACAAACCCATATGACTTAGTTGTGTTTAATTCAGAAAACTTAATTTGACATTTTGCCAAATATTACAAAAAATCGAATATGCATTTTCAAAATGTTTCAGATTATCTATTAAAAAAATGTTATCTCTAAGCTATTTACTTATATTTATAATACAACTTAACAAAAATAGAAAACAAAACACATGCAATTAAGTAAACAGTGTGCTCCCATCATCTCGAAGTTTGAAGAAATCTTTAGCATGACTACGAATGAGAGGGTGTTTTACACAGACTTGGTGACATCCCGGCTATATCACCGCAGCCTATACATAAACAAGTCAGGGCCAGACAAATCAGTGGTTGATACCACGATCATCAGTCAGTTCCTCCCTGGTACTGTTACACACAGCCAGCAAGGGAAGAGTGAGTGAGAGAGTTGGGTTTAACGCCGCTTTAACAGTATTCCAGTTATATCACGGCGTGTCAGCTTAACGTTTACCACTTCGGTGAAACCCACGAGCATGGGTATGGTGCTGACAAACCTAGAAACATAATTGGGCCGAACCGGGATTCGAACCCACAATCATAGGTTTCTGGCGTGCCCAAGGGACGCAACTCTGCACAGCGAATCGCGGCGCCTTAGACGACTGGGCCACCCGTGCCCCCAGCAAGGGAAGACATTGTGGTCAACAAATTCCCATGTCAGAGCCAGGTGCCTGTTTCATTAAGTGACTGTAGTGCTACAACTGCCATCAGTGTATGATACAAGTAGAGCTGGTATGATAGTCTTAGCACTAAGATCGCTTTGTGACACGTGACTCTGGGTCTACTCTGCCCCATGATCTCCTGCAGGATTACAGTTTGGAGACTGAGGGGTCAGTATGAATGTGTGACTCTAGGAATTTTCTGACATGGGCCCTTTATGCGAAAATTTCAAATATTCCAGAGGTAAATCCACACTTGCCCACACACCACAATGTTAAAATATCCCAGTGTATTTGAAAATGTCAGCCTTTTTTCAAATTTAGCGTCTTAAAGCACAAGGCCCCAGCCTAGTATTATCCCTGGTGATGTATCAATGGGACAATCAGTTAATTCCAATGAACATTTCTAGATGAGGCTGCATAGGATCACCCTAACAGAAAAGCACAAACTGGTTTTTTTGCACAAATATTCAGATTCATATTGAGAACTGTACAAAAGAAACAAGATCATGGGTCCCCCCCAAACCACTTCGAGATGAAAGGTCATCTGCCATGAAAATGCTACTATTAAATATTGATTATGATATGTCAAGATGAGTGGATGAATGACCCTAACCTTTGAGTGAGTGAAAGTAGGGAACTGGCTTGTGAGAGGGGTAGAGACGGAAGGGAGGTACTGACAGACAGTTGGAAAGACAGATGGACACCAGACTGGACATACATACAGAAGGGTCAAGCAAGCGATTAGTTCTAGGCATACGACCTGGGGAGGAAATATGGAAAAGATTCAGCATCAACCGAATCTTGTATGTTACAGCTTCAAACAGCTGCCATCTTATTTATCTCATGTTCATCACAACAGACATACAAGAATATTTGTCATTTCAAGTTATCGCAGCTTACACATAAGTGTTCAAAATTAAGCATGAAAGAGGGGTTCTTGTCATTACCTGAAGGTAGAAAAGTACAGATAGAGGCATTCCTACATTCAAATATAGCATTCCTACATTCCTACAGCAAACCTCAAGGACTCCAGGACCTCCCTAAATTTAAACACTGCATATATAGAGGTGGATCAAGGATTTCAAAAAGGATTGGTACACACTATACCCAAGTCAGGAAGTCAACATAAGATGTCTATCCACCAGCGGTTTACATGTCCCAAGCTGTTCAAAGATGGAAATTGGGCAGAGTCTTGTTTTGATCCTTACATAATGAAAATTATCTGAATAATTGTTCACTAAATGTTTACAGCCTAAAAATGTTTGAATCCCAAGTCTAACAAAATTTCTTACTGTCTAGTAAGACAGTACATTGGTAAACCTTTAGTTGATCGCAAAATGATGCCAGATATGTTTGGGCTACGAGACCCAAAAGTCTTTTTGCACAGACAAGTTTTATGTATTTTCAAGTCAGATGTGTACCATACACAAAGTATAACACTAGACTGAATGAATTAGGATTAACATTGCTGTGAACAGCATTTCAGTTACAAAACAGCAGAACAACTTCCCTTCGAAAACTATTTTGGTCAAATTTATAAGTGAGGAGTATGGTTTTACGCCGCTTTTAGCAATATTCCAGCAATATCACGGCGGGGGACACCAGAAATGGGCTTCACACATTGTACCCATGTCGGGAATTGAACCCGGGTCTTCGGCGTGACGAGCGAACGCTTTAACCACCAGGCTACCCGACCGCTCCATCAAATTCATGAGCACAGTTTGGTGCTGACCGACCAAGGACATTATTTGGGATTAGAATCCACGATCATGGCATGGCTTAAGGATGCATCTCATACACACAAATGTCCGCTCCATGGGCCACTGGACTCCCAAGATCTACAAGAGGTAGGAAGGGTTATTTGAGTCTCACACAGAGGGTAAGATAGGATCACAGGGAATGTGCAATACCATTGCTGATCTTACAAGGGAAACAATAACACCAAAGAGTACATAGACATGTTTGCCTTAATGGATGTTGTTAGATGACTGTAAAACTGGTATTCAGAAACATTATAAACTGTAAGATGATAGGATGTGAGTAATATTTGAAAATATGAATATGATGACAAATCTTAACGTTGATAGTGCAATAATGTAAGAGAATATCGATAGAATAAACACGATGACATTTCTAAAACTCTAGTGTAATGTTAGCTGTCAATAACAAAATATTATCATAAAATTTCTTTTACTGCAAATGATATGAATTCTAAATCAAAATTATTATTATACTTCTCTAGCATTGTAGATGATATTATTTTATATGTGAGGGAAAGTATCTAAAAAAGCCAGAGGGATCAAGCAGCAAATATTTATTTTTCAAATTTCTTGTTCCTATTCAGACTTCATTAGTCAAATGTTTTCAAGAATATCTGGCGATTTTTCACTGGCTGCTTTCACCTACAACATGTCTGAATGTGAATTTTCAATGTTTCAAAATGCTAATGTTTTTTGTTCTAAGGTCAAGGTCAAGCATGACATCAAGGTAAAATTTGAGAACAAGGTCAAACTTGATAATGTGGTCAGGTATGATATAAAGATTAGACTTGAAATCAAGGTCTGACTTGAGATCAAGGTCAGACATGAGGTCCAGATCAGATCTGAAATCAAGGTTTGACTTGAGATCAAGGTCAGATTTGACATATAGGTCAGTTATGAGGTCGAGATCAGATCTGAAATCAAGGTCTGACTTGAGATCAGGGTCATATTTGACATATAGGTCAGACATGAGGTCGAGATCAGATTTGAGATCAAGGTAAAGAAATGTCATCATACCATGCAGTATTTCATGCAGAAGTAATGGTAAATTTTGTTATAGATTATTATGCCACTACTCTCAGCAACTACCCAAGAGAGGACCTTGATCATGACCTTGACCTTCCTCCATGGAGGACTCACCATAGAGATCAGGGGTGCCCAGGTTCAGGAGACACGTCCTCTGCATGAAGTCGATGATTGCCAGGCCAGACTCATTCCCGAAGGCCATCCTGAAGAATAAGCATGAGTAAGTGAATTTGCACGAGTAGGTGAAACACATTTTGGTCTTTAAACATGTAGGTCTTTACACATTGCAACTATGAGGCCAATCAAATCCGGGCCTTCAGCCATAAGAGAAAACCACAACTCTACCCCACTGCCCAAAAGACTCCTGTTGCAGAGTGAGTGAGTGAGTATGGTTTTACGCCGCTTTTAGCAATATTCCAGCAATATCACGGCGGGTGACACAGAAAATGGGCTTCACACATTGTACCCATGTCGGGTATCGAACCCGTGTCTTCAGCATGACGAGCGAACGCTTTACCACTAGGCTACCCATATCTAAATACATTTTGTCCAGGGCTACGGTCAAACTATTCCCAATCAGACATTTTGTACCTATCTCTTGAGTGAGTGAGTTTGGTTTAACGCCGCTTTTAACAGTATTCCAGATATATCAAGGCGTGTCAGCTCAATGTGGGAGGAAAGCCCGAAGTGATGCAGGTCTCAGACGTTTACCACTTCGGTGAAACCTACGAGCACAGGTATGGTACTGACAAACCTAGAAACATAATTGGGGCGAACTGGGATTTGAACCCACAATCATAGGTTTCTGGCATGCCCAAGGGACGCAACTCTGCATTGTGTATGCTCAACGTAAAAATTAACTCATCAAGTTTAAGTTTATCATACTGTGATTTATTAGAAGCATGTAATTAAAATTTTCTTGAACCTTGAAGATGTTACGTGTGCAGTTTAATTGGACTCGATTGAATCCAAATATTAAGGCCATAATAATAAGGTAGTACTTGTTTGATTGGGGGTAATGGATTTTTGGCCCAAAACTTCAGGTTGGTAGGTCAAACAATTTTTTTGGTAAATTGCAATTTCAAATATATTTTTTTATTTTCTCCCACTGTTTGTCATCAATAATTGTGCTTTGAAGTTTTTAAGAGATAAATTTTCAGCATTGATTTATTTATATTAAAAGCAACTGTAAATGAGGTTGGGTTTTTTAACATTTTACTGAGCTCTGGTTGGTGGAATAAAAACAAATTGCTTTTCCTTTCCTTCTTTTTTCACATTTCAAAATTTGGGGAATCTGCATATTCATAAACCAAATTCTAATAAAGGTCTGGCAACAAATAAAAAAAATTAAAAGTAAAATTCTGACAGAAGCAATTGTGTTCTTTCCACAAGCTAAGGTGAAATGTCTTGGTATTTTCATTAACAGTAGCTTGAAAGTAAAGAATTTGTGGTGTGACTTTCTTTTGACCTAACATGCACCAAAACGGCCTCAAGCTGCATGACAAGTAGGTAGCATACAGTAAGAAAATGAATCATCTGTAAAGCCATTTAGTCCATATCATTGTAAGTAGTATCAATTTCAGTTATCAATAAACCTTCTGATCACAGTTACTTCGCCTTTGTGTATACATGTGGCCCCATGAAATCAGTGAGGGCAATGTTAGTGTTGATGCATGGGTCTCCCCAGGCAGGTCCACTCAGCATCTGGAACATGCTCCCAGGGAACGAGAGGAAGCACGTTTTTTTACAGCCCTTGCCCATCTTGACGTGTTAACATAGTGCTGTAGGTTACAAGTGAGACTGCCCAAGTGTGGACCAGCAGTCTCCTGGCAGTACACAATTAGTATGGACCGTGACCAAGCAGAGCCTCAGGGGGCTGGCCTGGTTGTGAGTACAGTGAACTTACAAGCCGTATGTGGAGTTGACGAGAATGCTGGTGATGTTGCCCGGGGGCTCGCCATCCACCCACGTCAGAACGCAGACCAGGTCAGGCTGGTAGCCTGCACTCCACTTCCTACTGCCGGTCTTCACCTTCACGGACGTCGTGTGGTCGGACTGCTGGAACATACGGTCTCATGCAATACACTGAAATGGTCCCTACATCTAGTGGTGTGTCTTGTGGTTTATCTGTTATTACTAGTCCAAGATATGGTCAGTACTAACCCATGGTTGAGGTATTACTAGTCCAAGAGTCACTCAGTACTAGTCCTTGACGGAGGTATTACTAGTCCATGGGGGAGGTATTACTAGTTCATGGTTGAGGTATTACTAGTTCATGGGGGAGGTATTACTAGTCCAAGAGTCACTCAGTACTAGTCCTTGACGGAGGTATTACTAGTCCATGGGGGAGGTATTACTAGTTCATGGTTGAGGTATTACTAGTTCATGGGGGAGGTATTACTAGTCTATGACGGAGGTATTACTAGTTCATGGTTGAGGTATTACTAGTTCATGGGTGAGGTATTACCAGTCCATGGTTGAGGCATTACTAGTCCATGGGTGAGGTATTACTAGTCCATGGGTGAGGTATTACTTGTTTAAGACTGGGACAATACTCTCCTTGATTGAGGTATTATAATTTAACTGTCCCAGACTGGGACACTACTGGTCCAAGATTGAGGTATTGCTAATCCAAGACTGTGATAGTACTGGTCCAAGATTGCAGTATTACTTGTCTCATGACAAAGGTATTACTAGTCCAAACTTTGGTCAGAACTAGTCCACAATTGAGGTATTACAGGTCAAGGAGTGGGACAGTACTAGTCCAAGGGTCAGACAGTACGAGTGGTACCTGACAGAGTTCCACGTCCATAAGTGGGTATTTTACTCAAGGGTTTGACTAGGGCCATGTTTTCTTAAAAATCTGTCCAGCAATGCCGTGACAAATTGTTTGATAGGCATTTCTAAGAAGTTGATGGATGACAACTAGATAAAAAATGTCTTCCTTGACAACAGTATAACTAGTTATCCATATTTTTTGTCTACTTTGTAATGTTATTTCTGGCTATCGGTACCTATGTCCAGTAGATATAATAGGGTACATCTATGAAATGCCTGCAGTATCTCACCCCTCAGTATATGTATTCCACTTGATGTTGAGTGGCATCACAAAAGTAACCATGGGAAAGTGAAATAACAGGTTAGGACTTCCATTCTACAAATAACCATCAGTCAGACCGATGAAAAATATTATTTGTTTGAAGGAATGCAACTTGGTACTAGCATCAGCGCTTTTAGTCCACTAGTCCTTATAATGATAACATATAGCAAAACCCTTAAAAATGGCAAATTTCTACTAGTCCTTATGATACCTTAACTATTGGGCAGATTGACAAGGACTACAGGACAAGGGCCAATTTCTGACACTGAGCATGCTAGCCAGACACAGTCTGTCTCATGTTAATGGTGTGCTGAGGACTGGTGTACGTTTAGGCTTTCCAATAGTGTCCTCGCATATCTCTTTTTGGATCGTAAATCTTTCAGATTAAGCTGAATTCCTGTACATGTGACAATGCTCGCAGCGAGGTCAATAACAATAAAAAACAACTGTAATAAATTTCCCTTAATTATATTGAAATCGGTTAAAAATATCAATATCATTCTGACAAAATCCTAATAGTGTGCAACTCAGCAGATATGAAATCCAGGGGAATCCCTGGTCGGCACCCACCTTGGCACTGTCGGAGGTATTACTGGAGTAGGAGCCCATGCTACCACTGGTCTGTGTCACCAGGCCCAAACTCGGCTTGGGGTAGTCATACTCAGGAGAATCAAGGTCATCATAGATTTCATATACAATAGACGTCTCTAAAAACTGAAAAAGATGAAGCAGTGAATGAGTGAGTGAATTGGACGTGATGCCTCTTTGAACATTATATCTGTTATCACACAAAACAAATGTCAAATTTGGGATATCACTTTCTTAGTCATTTCTGGTCATCTTGTTGGAAAGTTCGAAGTGATGCATGTCTCAGATGTTTACCACTTTGGTGAAACCCACAGGCACAGGTTGGTGCTGACAAACCTTGAAGCATACACTGAGATTCGAACCCACAATCAGGTCTCTGGCATGCCAATTCTGCATAGCGAATTAAGGCACCTAAGACAACTGGGCCACCTGTGACCCCAAAAGAACAAGCAATTCAAAATGAACCAAGTCCCAGAACAAGCTATTTCTATCTATCAATTCAGTAACACCAGTTTAAGGAAATTTCCAAGCAAGTTATAGACAATGATGTGCTAGGAAGTCTCAAATTGGTCTGCAAATTAAGTTTACTTACGAGCTGTGCTAAAACAGGGCTCGATTTAGCTCTATAAATTATGCACAAAGTGCAACCTACTATTGAAAAATACCACCTAATATTTATGTCTACATGCCGAAAGTACATACAAAAAAATTCAAATAACCCTTAAGAACCCTTCCTTGTCCACACAAATTATATCTTTGAACACACTCAATACTTCAAATTTTAATTGACCATACTACATCACTAATCCCTGCGTTACGTGTAATTTGTCAAGCTTTCTTTGGCGTAACATCATCAAACTGGGGGAACTTCAAGATTAAGTGTACTTGCTCCTGTTAACTGTTTTACAGCAATGCGTCATTAATTCATGTGACACTGGCAGCAGACCTGCCTATGTTTCAACTCTGAGTGTTAGTGAGTTTGGTTTTAGGCTGGTTTTATGCCACTTTTACTAGTTTTAGCAATATTCCAGCAGTATCACAGAGGGGAAAACCAGAAATTTGCTTCACATGTTTTAACTTTGATAATTTATGGGACTGAGGGCAGGCTGGTTTTGTTTGGTGCAACTTGGTTTTCATGTCAACATGCACCTGGTACAAGTTAAATCAAGTTCCTTAAATCGAGCCCCGTAAAAACAGAAAATTGTCACCTGAAGTCTGGTAACTTTTCAGAATGTTTTCCAATATTTTCAAAACATTAGCTTTCTACCATTAATCATAAGAAGGCTTCATCAAGGCTGATTACAGATTTACAAAATGATACGAGGCCATCCATAAATGAAGTCACCAGTACTGGATTCGCCTTGATCTCAAAACAACTCGGAACCTCTTTTCCCTCCTCTAAATACTCAAAAAAAATAATATTTTCCAGCTAAATTCATAACATCTAGGGTCCACAGGATTTTCATTTCATATCGGAGATGTAGTACCTCGGATCATCAACGCTGCTAACAATACAGAGCACTAGGAATCTATTCTATCAAATCATTGGGCTGGGAGAATTTATGGCGATTAAACTTACAGGGATATCGAGATTTGCCTCTTGTTTGCTGAACTTGAAGAGCATGCAATGACTTGCACCTGCCACACACAGCAGACGACTCTCACTGCACATGTAGATCATCTGGATTGCAAAAGGGTCATCGTCTTGACTTTCCGGCGTCTTTTTTGGTTTTTCGAAGATTTTGGCAGTTTTTAGCTTGTACAACACTTGCAATGTCACTGAAATGTGGAAAATGATTGGCATGAAAAAACTGAAAGCATTGATTCTATATGGTGTTTATTTGTTGTTTAATGCTGCATTCAGCAATATTCCAGCTGAAAGACATCAGTCTGTAAATAATCAAGTCTAGATCAGACAATCCTGTGTTTGACATCATGAGCATCAATCTATACAATTGAGACAATTATCAACAAAGTCAGCAAGCCTGATCACCTAATCCATGCAGTCACCTCTTACGACAAGCATGGCTTTCTGAAGACCAGTTCTAACCAGCATCTTATCTGGAAACATTTCAATTCTGCAATAAGGACTTGGATGTTTTTTGTGTTGGAATCGTCCTCGAATACCGACTGTGATGTACTGGGAACATTCAACCCAAAACAAGGTCTTCCTCAAAAAATGATGAGTGAGTGAGTGATGGAGTTGGTTTAAGGCTGACAGAATACCTTAGCACATCAGCTTACGGCAGGCATAATGAGAGCATTAGGAAATTACTGTGCCCTGCAATTTGCCTGATAACTTGCTAGCTGTTTTATGATAATTGTTTCCATTTCAGCAGAAATGCTGTTTGAATGTGACTCACCAGCAGATGCGTCCCAGAACTTGAGCGATCCATCAGCATGTCTAAAAAGACAATAACAAACTTGCAATCAATCAGTCAGTTATTCACTCAGTCGGTGAGCAAGTGCTCGTTATTTAACATTGCTGCCTGCAATAGTCCAGCTATATCAAAGCAGAATTTAAATAATCAAACCAGTGGTTGATAGCATGAACATGACCCTTGCTACCCTAAAACTGAGTCAATCCTAGGCTTGAAAAAAGGGTTATGTCTCTGGTCTTTTGGTTGGCCAAAAATGATGAGATGCAAATCAAACTTTTCTTCTTCTTTCTATTTAAGATCATTATGTATTATAATTTGTTTTTCAAACGAAACCATAGTTTCATGATTCATGTGTCAGTATCTCATAAGAGTGGAAAAATGGAATTCATCCACTCAAGCTATTCCATGTTTTATCTGCCTTCTTCATCATCAAATCAACATCCAGAATTGTGTGCAGAAGACGCAATTATCTAAAAATAAAATCAAGACACAGCTATGTCTTTGAATAAACATTAACAGGTTTCTCCTCGACTAAAAGCCTATAGCCACATCCCAAAGGATGCTCTCTTCATATTGGCCATGGAATTGACACTTTCAAGTACATACTTCATAAAAGATTGATTACTTCAAACTCTTTGTTTTAAATCATCACAACACAACCTGTAAAGGTTAAGCATGTCCCATGTGCATCTACCAGAAACACTTAACACATGGGTTGCCCACTTTCCGACTGCATGGCTTAACCCTTTATTGTGTCTAGTGCCTATGGTTATATTTTTTAACCATTATTTTAGTTATAATGTTAGTGGCCTCATAAGTTTGTTTGTTTGTTTGTTGTTTAACACCTCACTCAGCAATATTCCAGCTATATGACGGCGGTCTGTAAAAAAGATCAAGTCTGGACCAGACAATCCAGTGATTGACATCATCAGCATCAATCTATGCAATTGGAATACAATGTCATGTATCAACCTAGTCAGCGAGTCTGACCACGTGATCTCGTTCGTCACCTCTTACTACAAGCTGAGTCGCCTTTTAGGGCAAGCATGGGTGGCTGAAGACCTATTCTATTCCAGATCTTCACGAGTAGAAACAATAACGGAACTTGCTATAAGAAACATTATGTGCGCATAGTGCTTGAGGCAAATGTCTTGTGATCAGATATACTTATTTTTTTCGAATTGTTCATCTACTCATTTTCTATCAACTGGATGAGTGGGTTTTAAAAAGCTTTCACACGAATATTCCACACATATCACAGCAACTCCAAGAATGTTTGTTTGTTTGTTGTTTAACGCCGCACTCAGCAATATTCCAGCTATATGACAGTGATCTGTAAATAATTGAGTCCACGCAATTTGGATAAAATGACATGCATCAACCCAGTCAGCGAACCTGACCACCCGATCTCGTTATTTGCCTCTTACAAAAAGCATGGGTTGCTGAAGACCTATTCTACCACGGATCTTCACGGGTCCACACCAAGAATGGAATTGACACATTGTGGGAAATTGAACCCAGGTCTATGGGTGAAATAAGACAACCACTTGGCTACCCAACTGTCAAGATCAGCATCATGGAAACATTATTAAAACATCAAGAATTTGTTATCAGCCACATAATTTTACTTCCCATTTCAAGTCGAATATTGTTTTTGATTCAACATGTACATGTTCACATCTCTGTACTGTACTTACCCGGTGATGATGATTTCTGGATAACTGCAAGCCAGTGTGGGCCACTCTCCTCCCTGTACTGGCCAGCCCTGCTGAAACATCACCAACACACACACTGTCACCACCAGTCCTCAGACACAGACATGACCACACGGGAAGATCCATCAATGACTGCCCAGACTAGCGGTCAGAGAGTAACAGACATGCCACACTACTCTAGGAGATCCATCAATGATTGACCAGACTAGCGGTCAGAGAGTAACAGACATGCCACACTACTCTAGGAGATCCATCAATGATTGCCCAGACTAGCGGTCAGAGAGTAACAGACAGGCCACACTACTCTAGGAGATCCATCAATGATTGCCCAGACTAGCGGTCAGAGAGTAACAGACAGGCCACACTACTCTAGGAGATCCATCAATGATTGACCAGACATATGGTCAGACAGTAACAGACATAACCACACCTCTGGGAGATCCATCAATGATTGCTCAGACACATGGTCAGACAGTAACAGACATGCCACACTGCTCTAGGAGATCCATCAATGATTGCCCAGACTAGCGGTCAGAGAGTAACAGACATGCCACACTACTCTAGGAGATCCATCAATGATTGCCCAGACTAGCGGTCAGAGAGTAACAGACAGGCCACACTACTCTAGGAGATCCATCAATGATTGCCCAGACTAGCGGTCAGAGAGTAACAGACAGGCCACACTACTCTAGGAGATCCATCAATGATTGACCAGATATATGGTCAGACAGTAACAGACATAACCACACCTCTGGGAGATCCATCAATGATTGCTCAGACACATGGTCAGACAGTAACAGACATGCCACACTGCTCTAGGAGATCCATCAATGATTGACCAGACATGTGGTCAGACAGTAACAGACATAACCACACCTCTGGGAGATCCATCAATGATTGCTCAGACACATGGTCAGACAGTAACAGACATGCCACACTACTCTAGGAGATCCATCAATGATTGACAAGACATATGGTCAGACAGTAACAGACATGACGCCCACCTCTGGGAGATCCATCAATGATTGATCCCAAACAAAACATGCCACCACAAATGTGATTCCCCCCGGTGGGGTTAAAACGCCTTCCCGCTGCTTGACGTGCTGAGTAATTTCAACGATCGGGCCGGGACAAGGCCGGCTACCTTGTGTCTACCAGTGTAGCTATTGTTATGGGTACAGATTCACCCAAGCATGGGGATGGGTAAGACAACAGGGGGTGGGGGGGGGTGGGGGTGGGGGGGGGGAGAGATATCACGTAAGACAAGTAATTGGTGAATATCTCACAAAATATAATGGCACAACTAACTGGTTAGCTCTATTCACATGAGTACTGTAACTGTACTGAGTGAAAATGTTTAAAATATATCCTGACATAGCCTATTTTCGAACAGTTAAGATGGCATTGCTGATATTTGAAGGGATGAGTGAATCAAAACTCAAATTCTGCTTCATACCAGTAGGTATGATGTCCTCAACAATAGATTTCAGCTACATTCCAAAAGAAAAAAACTCCTCAATAAAAGGTGCGCCCTCCAAACCGTCTGTAAACTTCTGCTGTACTCAAGTGACGTCACCTATTGTCAAACACCTGATTGGTTTCGTACTTAACGGGTTTTCTTAAAGAGACATGTTTTGGCGCACGGTTCTCAACATAATACTTGCAGGTCTGCATTTATACTCAATAAGTAATTGATAGTTTGAAACCTATTCACAAAATATGAACATTTGTCACATTATAGTGTCCCCACTAATTTACTCTTCCTTTTCATCATGACACAGGCACCAAAAGCCTGCATGACGACGGAGTTTTCTGACAGGTGTTCAGTACTTCACATGAACTCAATGTTGACAGGCCGAATGCATGCATTCTCAAGTTGGCAGCTTTGATGAAATCACACCTCTCCCTATAATGCCACAAATCAATATCAAACACGGCTGTTCGAAAATAGGGTACTCGACGATATATCAATGACTGTGTGAAGATATTAATCATTCAGTACGATTTGGGCTATAAAAGGGATTACAGACAAGAAACAGAATTCCACAGAGGCAAATGTGCAGGCTGATTTACAGTTTATTCCCAATTCTAAGAGGGATCGGCACTTGTTTTTTGCCAGATAAAAGTTCACGAACAAGACCAGACATCAAACTGCCATTCATTGAAAACATTCCCAAAAAGGATGCTCAACCAACATTAACACAAAGATGGCTTTGTCAGGAAGCACAATGATATGTCTCTGAGCAGTGGGACGATGCCAGAAATGATCTTGAGGGATGGCATCCAAATATGTACAAATTCACTGAGATACTACAGGTGGAGCTGGATAATACTGCGACACATCCAGTTAGTTTGATGCCACCCAAGAAGAAGTATCAAAACCTAGACATGCCCATAAGAGGGAGAAGAGACAACCAGAAACCAGAGAACATTATCACAATGCTGTTTCACCTCTTGACTGTGAATTATGGAAATGAAAAATTCAGCGATGGAAACTGACCGTTTTAGCCCTCTAGTCCTTATAATGATAACATATAGCAAAACACCTAAAAAGTGAGGTGAGGAGAGGAGAGGAGAGGAGAGGAGAGGAGAGGAGAGGAGAGGAGAGGTGAGGTGAGGTGAGGTGAGGTGAGGAGAGGAGAGGAGAGGAGAGGAGAGGAGAGGAGAGGAGAGGAGAGGAGAGGTGAGGTGAGGAGAGGAGAGGAGAGGAGAGGAGAGGAGAGGAGAGGAGAGGTGAGGTGAGGTGAGGTGAGGTGCAATGAGTGAGTGAGTGAGTGAATATGGTTTTACGCCGCTTTTAGCAATATTCCAGCAATATCACGGCGGGGGACACCAGAAATGGGCTTCACACATTGTACCCATGTCGGGAATCGAACCCGGGTCTTCGGCGTGACGAGCGAACGCCTTAACCACTAGGCTACCCGACCGCCCCTGAGGTGCAATGGAGTTTAACGCTGTGTCCAAGATTATTGCACTTATATGCACATGTGTTTATGTGAGGCTGCTTGTGCTAGTCCTAACTAATGCCTATCTTATAGTGATAGCCCACTGAGATACCATGCCCCAGTTTAATGTTAATACCCCACTCAGACACAGTATATTGACTCCGAGCCGACCAGTCCTTGTTTTAGGCCCTTAATGCCAAGCACCAAGCAGGGGAACATCTTTTGGTTTTTCGTGGCCAGGGATCGAACCCCAGGCCTTCCGCTCTCTAGGGGGACACTCTACCACTAGACCATGGAGGCAGTCACTCTTAAAGAGAGATAATTTAGTCCTTAGGATACCTTAACCATTGGACTTGTTTCGAACACTGGAAATATTAAATGTGAAATTGGACAAATAAGACAAATAATACAGTGCTCAGTCTTTTTATCACAATGGGGATTATCCCTTGGCCAGCTGCTGGACAAGTAAGAAGTCACCGTTTATGGTACCCAAACAGGTTGTTAGTCATGAAAAGCTTCTGACAGACATTAATTGTTATTTTAATTATTCACAATGTAAAGATCGAAGGGCGTTTCACAAAATCAGCAATATATGCAATGTTATTTTTGTAGGATTAACAGAAATAGCAACACTTTTACATTGACCGCTTCCTGACGTATCCGTACATAAATAGCTGCCAAGCAACACAAAACATTGTCATGCATCGCTGCACCATTGCCCTGGTAGTTTTAGTCCTCTCCCCAAAATATTTTGTCTTGTAATCCAATTGTGGGGCATGTGATTTCAGCACTGTCACTTGGACATTGAAATACTTTCAAAGAAGAATATGATACTTTTTCTCTTGGGAATTGACTTTATATATCTGGGACAATTTATATGCGCAACTAAATGGCAATCATTTTTTTAACTTTACTTGCCCATTAAAACAGATCTTTCCATTTATGCCCTCATTCCACAAAACTGTCTTAGCACTATGACTTCTTAGAGTCGTTGTTTAAATATGAGACTTGCAGCTATAGAAGCAATCAGATCCTTTCTGTGGAATGAGCGAGTTGGGTTTAACGCCGCTTTTAACAGTATTCCAGTTATATCACAGCATTTCAGCTTAATGTGGGAGGAAAGCCCGAAGTGATGCAGGTCTGAGACATTTACCACTTTGGTGAAACCCACGAGCATGAGTATGGTGCTGACAAACCTAGAAACATAATCGTGGCAAACCGGGATTCGAACCCACTATCACAGGTTTCTGGCATGCCAAAGGGACACAACTCTGCACAGCCAATCGCAGCGCCTTGGACGACTGGGCCACCCGTGTCCCCCTTTCTGTGGATCAGGGTCCAGATCCTATACACTGCCAACTGCATGGGTCACTGAATTCAATTTGTTTTCAATACATGCATCCCAATTTCAAAACCAGCCTTGGTAGTTTTATACCCACCTTTTCTGTGAAGCCAGTTTTCTTCTGTTTTGAGCCGACAGAGTAGAACGCAGGTATGAGGTCTGGGGGACAGTCAGCGTAATACTGACAGGCCGTCACCGGAGACTCATGGAGGTCCATTGGGTATGGGTTCTCGAAACATGGGTATCTGCAACAGGGTGTACGGTGTCACTTGAACACATTGAAAATTGATATATTTTCTTTCCTTGATCACATGCTGATTTACGCTACAGCCAACACACCTCTAGCTGTAAATAATCAAGTCTCTGTATGAGAAAGCTGTGCCAAATATTTTTCGGTCTACACGCCCAAACTTGTATTTTGACATTATCGTCAGCGGATATTAACCATAGTGCATGTATAGGGTAAAACACTCCTTGGGGGTTTTGGTTTAAAAGGGATTCAAATTAAGCGTGCGAGAGAAAAGATATGTGCAGCATGGATCAGTCGGAGTCATGACATGTAAAACTGAACAAGTTTTCATCGCCTGCCCCAGTGGCTCAGTGGGAAAACAGTGGGTTTACTAAAGATAACACGATACATGAGGTTGCAGGTTTGATTCACATCATGTGAAAACAATTGTGACATTTAACCAATCAAAACAGAATCTTGTGTTCATATCAAGAGGCCAGTTTATAAAACCTCAATTGTAAAACCGTGCAGGTTTAGAAGTGACCCATTTCAAATCCTGGTTTGGAAGAGAACCGCTTTAAAACCGTGGTTTGGAAGATGGGCTGGTTACTAGGTGAAACCGAGGTTGTCAGGAACCTAATGCATTATATGGGGTAACTCGGGCATAGGTTACAAGTACACACTGATGAAACAAGACCAAAAGAAAATTTACCAGATAGGGGCTTAGGACGATAAAGTCGCAGTCTAGTTGTGGCTTAATACACACATACTTCTCAAAACTAGTTAAAGAACATCCACAATTAGAAGGCTGTGTGGTGCAATACCCACCCGCTATGACAGATTAACAGGAGTCATTTGAAAAATTCGGGTCTTGTTTAACTTCTTATGAGTAATCTACAATAATCAAGAGCTATTAAATAGTCAAGTCAGGCACACCAGTGCTTTCACTGAACGAGCATGATCTACACAGTCAGGTCACAATGACACAACATCAGCTTCAGGTTCCAACCATAACCACCTGGGTGCCGTTGTACAAAGCGATCTTACCGCTAAGGTGATCGTAACTCCCATACCTTAACATAGACTTATGACAGTCGTAGTGCTAAGGTTGCTTTGAACAACCAGGTTCTTACTCGTTAGCGCTTACATCAAGCACTGGACCTATTCTGCAGCACATAAGGTAAGGTAGGGTGAAATGGGGTTTAACGTTGTGTTCTACATGTAAAGCGATGTGTATGCATGTGCTTGTCTGCTAGTCCTAGTCCTGATGTATGCTGGTTTTATAGTGTCAGCCCACTGAGATGCCATGACACAGTTTAACATGGATCAGAGCTCCAGATAAGCTGCGTATCTGCGTAAAATATGCATCAGAAATGCAGAAATACGCAGTAAAATAAAATCCGCAACGGACATTACATATACGCTACAAAAATAAAACTTGTGCATATCATCAAAATATTGTGAAGTAACCCTGCGTATTCGATTAGCAAATCAGCAACTTATTTTGAAATTATAAACGGGCATTACGACAACCTTGCCAAACTCCACGATGACAGTTACATCATGATCATTTGCCATCACACTTTCTTATGGAAGTATTGTGGTATTTTTGAGTTCTATAAAGCTCTCGAACACACACGACACCAGTTTGCAGGGACAAGATGAATAGTGTTTTTAAATATTTAACTTAAATACCCACGTGTGAAAAAACTAGTGGGTAACAGAAATTTGAATACCCAGATAGAATTACTGATACCCAATGATTTTAAAATGCATGGGTAAAATGCCCACAACACCAAAAGCTTATCTGGAGCTCTGATGGATACCCCACTCTGACACATCATACTGACTCTGTGCCTGTTTTATCCCTTAATGTCGAGCACCATGACAAGAAGTAACAACAAGTACCACCCTTTAATGTCTTTTGATATGACATGGGCAGGCCATACTGAGCAATATTCCAGCAAGATCTGGCATCTGGCATCTGTGAAACATGGTGTAACGCCATTGGCGCTCAACGCATCACTAGTGCCAAGCCCACCCCAATCTTTGTAGCCTATGGTAAGCTGTAGACATGTCTGAAAATAATCGAGTATGGCCAGACAATCCAATGACTGACAACATGAGCATCGATCGACACAATTGGGATGTGATATATTGAGTAGAACCTTCCACTATTTCAACACGTTCAAAAAGTTACACTTCATTGCATGATGAATTGGTAACCTTGTAATTTATATACAGACGTGTCTTTATTAGTTGGTGAGTCTGTTAATGTTGTTTTATGCCACAGTCAGCAATATTCCACCTTATATTTCAATACACCAATGTGACCATGATGACAAAGAGATTATTAGCACTATCCATGATATGATATATTCAACTACATGTATATGATCTTACCCGGGCGACGTAAGATCCACAACAACAAGATCATTTTGCAGCAGCACGACAATAGCATAGGGGTCTTGGAAATCTGGAACAAACATATACAATAGCCATCAGTCTAGAAGTGTCTTTTACCTGCCTAAAGATCACAAATAATGCAACTATTTGACAATTTCAAGCAGTTTTTTCAAGGAGGACGGAAGGGGTTTGGGGATAGAGGCTCAGTGTCGAACGATGTCATTCACACGCTAATAAACATTAGTTTCAGTTTACGATACTGAATCCTCATTCAATGATAAAGCCAAATCTTAGATCAGACCTCTAAGTAGCGACCAAAGGTGGCCAAATGCAACTTAGATCTATGATTGGCAACCTAAATTTATCTACTGCTCGCCACTTGACTACCTTAAAGTTAACATAACTGGCAACAATATCTGTTTAAGATATCTGTTGGCTCCTAAAAACTTTGGTTTGGCTCCTTACATATTCATGTTAGGAGCCGCTTGGCTCCCTAATAAATAAACGAACTGAAGATGACATTCATTTGTGTGAGTGAGTGGATGCTATTAAAGCCACAGCAATCAATATTGCAATATATCTCATATCAGCCTGTTAATATGTAAATCTGGCCAAAGTGGTTAACAGCATGAGCAATGATCAGGTCACAACCTAAAACCATCCAACCCTAATTTGTTGGCTCTAATGGTTTACTGGAGATATAGTCTGCCCCAGGCTTCCCATAGAAGACAAGCAAAGGAGGACTGGGGACCTATTCTTCATCAGACTTCCCTTCAGGAGACAAGCATGGGGTACTTGGGACCTATTCTTCATCGGGATTCCCACAGAAGATAAGCAAAGGAGGACTGGGGACCTATTCTTCATCAGACTTCCCTTCAGGAGACAAGCATGGGGTACTTGGGACCTATTCTTCATCGGGATTCCCACAGAAGACAAGCAAAGGAGGACTGGGGACCTATTCTTCATCAGACTTCCCTTCAGGAGACAAGCATGGGGTACTTGGGACCTATTGTTCATCGGGATTCCCACAGAAGACAAGCAAAGGAGGACTGGGGACCTATTCTTCATCAGACTTCCCTTCAGGAGACAAGCATGGGGTACTTGGGACCTATTCTTCATCGGAATTCCAACAGGAGACAAGCATGGGGTACTTGGGACCTATTCTTCATCGGAATTCCCACAGGAGACAAGCAAAGGAAGACTGGGGACCTATTCTTCATCAGACTTCCCTTCAGGAGACAAGCATGGGGTACTTGGGACCTGTTCTTCATCGGAAATCCCACAGAAGAAAAGCAAGGAGCACTGCAGATCTATTCCGCCCAAGAATTCCCTTCAGGAGATAATCAAGGAGTACTTGGGACCTATTCCTCCCCTTCAGGAAACAAGCAAGGAGTGCTGAGATCCTATTCTGCCCCAGAATTTCCACGGGAGACAATCAAGGAATACTGGGGACCTATTCTGCCCAAGACTTCCCACAAAGTAAAGACTGTCACCCTCACCATTTGACCATGGAGTCTCACAAAGCACCACAAAGTCCACCACGTTGTGCTCCATCTCTAACACTGTGGTGCTCCTTCCATTCATCACTGTAATACTTGGAGTCCGGCCAGCTCGGTCGTATGACATCCCACCTGAGAAGATCACTAGCGGCTCACTGAAACAAACAATCAGGGTGATTATCTCACATGTGCATGTGGACCACTCAGACCTGACAAGCACTTTGAGGTAGGTACAGGCAGTACACAAAGACATACGTAAGATACAGCAAAACCTTGTTAATCTGGAACCTGTTAATCCAGAATCATAGCCTACTGGATAAGTACTGCTAGGACCATATACAATGGAACATCACGCCATACTCATGCAGGGATTCACCAAGGACTTTAGACCAAGTCCTGGCATTATTTTGTCTGATATGGGATTTTTTACAGTTCTATTTTGTTTCATTCAGAGGTAGGCCAATCTTAACATTGTATTTTGAGATTGCATTCATAATAATATATAACTAAGGCTTAAAAAAATAAAAGAATTTGTTCTCAGGCAATGTTTTTTGAAAATATAGTGCGGGCGGGTGGTGTCTTTTTGGGGGGGGTTGTTCAAACTAGTATGCAACCAATAAACAGTTGTGTAATCAATAAACAATTGTGTACAATCAACCCGGGAAAGGGCCTCCCTACATAAATGTATTCCTTGATAGTAAAATACTGGAATACAGTATTTTTCCACCATTGGACTTGAAGTATTTGAGGATTTTTTTGATTTTTTTTTAAATGGAAATAAAAACAAAACGTGCGGCGCACTTTATCATGATGTGGGCGGTGCCTGAGAACCAAGACTATTTTTTTTTTAGCCTAAGCATAACAACCACTTCCTAAAGCTATTTGAAATATATCCACATGTTATGGGTTTTCGGACGCTTAAGAAACAGTCGTAGTTTTCTCTCTAATTGCATGAACAACTGTAAAACATCTCATTCGCTGATAAAAGACTTTCTCTTTCAAACAATCCATCATCTGAGTATTTACAATGTCTGTGTGATGCTACACCCCCCGTGATAGCAGGAGTAAAAGGATCAAAGGATGTATGCATACCATAAATTAAAGTTATACTATTTGGTCATTTTTAACCGAATCACGGTAGGTTGCGAGAAACGTGTGCACAGTTGATGGTTGCTTCCAGTTTAATTTACAAAACATACACATGGTAATCTTAATCTCTGCATATAAAACAATGCCCAGCAGAACAGGAAATACAATTTAATTGCTAAGCCATCGTGTCTAGTGATGTTTTATCTCAAATTTCAAATTATTGACCGAGTTTAATTGTTATAATCTGTTTGTTTCCCTGAATTGCAAATATAGGGATTGTGTATGAGCTGGTGACATGTTTCATTCCGATTCGCTTTATAGACGGGGTATATAAATTAACATCGATTTTGAAGGCTTGAACAGCGGGGGTCACCTTACACATGGGGTCGCTTTATAGATGGCGACATACGGTACCAGTACACATGATTTTATTAGGTAGGCCTCATTGTATGTTTACACTGACAGCCATATAACAACCAGCTGTATGGCAGAAAAAATAGTTCCTCAAGATGAAAAGATGCCATGAGCGTATGTATGACAGTATTCTCAAATTGCTTGACAGTAACATATTTAAAGTTTGGTCACAACAATTAGATTTAAATAATATCATCATTAGATGAGAAATATCTGTTAAGAACTACTGTAAATCTTGCATTGATTTTGAGTCGGATTTTTGGCTAGGGGTCAGCAGTCATATTTATTTGGAGATTTACAGTACCTGAGTAAATCATTAAGTCGGTCACTGTGACCTTTACATTTACTTTAAGAGCAGAACATCAAAATGGCCAACGGGATCAACGTGACGGGCGATATATATCCATAGTTGACATTGAACCTGTGGCCATTAGTTCCACTGACCAATTAATCAAAGGTGATTATAACAATTTGCCAAATAGATACTTAAAGTATTTCATGGATAGAAATTCATCTTTTTGACTGCTACTGTCAATCTAGGCACAGATCGAGTTCATATTTCGATCTGCATTTCTTCGAAAGGTCAAAAAATGGATATTGGATTACAAACAGTTTTTACAAAGTATGCAAAAACTCAGAGTTCAAGGTTAAAGTATTTGAATGATCAAAAGTTTTAAATCCATAAACATTAAAATGTATCATTCATACACCTATGAATGTCAGTTTCGTGTTCATTCAACCAGCCTCAGGTCTAACCAGCCATATCTCCTGTAATCTTCACATTCCAGTGTTTGCCTTTACGGCGTCCCATAAAAACAAATACGCACTGAAAAAAACTGGGATGCAAAAAAAGAAACCTACATGCATTCCCTTATGCATTTCTCAGTTTGATAAAACTTTACTTCATGCATAACTTATCATTTTGTTTTGAGTTCTTTTCGCCCAACAAGAACCATGATACACACATAAAAAAAGACACAAATTTTATTTGTGCTCAAGAATGGCCTAAAACACATCATTTCAGGTCTACATTTGAAAAATGTACATGAATGGGGTCATGCACCCAAACCCCCGCAAGATAGATTCGCACCTGCGCCTGTGCCTCTTGCAGCTAACGCATCCAAGTCGACCCCATTTTTTCAAAGACCAATGCAAACACTGCATTCTAAATAATAATGAAATGGGGAGTGAGTGAGTATGGTTTTACGCCATCCGTAATTCTCTTCCTTGTGAACTATAAAGTTTCTAAAAACTATTGTTTTTTTAATCAAGATTAGACAATTTTAAACTTTCCAATTCTGTGTAGCAGTGGGTTTTTTCTGTACAAACATTATGGTGAAATATCTGGTCAACTTCTTTATATTGAGGAACACTACAGAGTTTATTTTATCTTCACACAAATTAAACCAGTCAAATGAAAAGAGTCTTTAGTTTTGAGGCTTCTTAAAAATAACAATGCAATGAATAAGAACATGACCACAGTTACCATTTCATTAAAAAAAAACAATACCTGTTCTACCCAAAATAATTTTTTTTAAACAAAACAAAAAACACACAATATTCATGGCTCTCCAGCACCGACCTTTCGCTCCCACTCATTCTTCAAGTGTCTTCCAACACTTTTTGTCCGTGAAGCAATTATTTTTTTAAAAATAGGCTTTATCCGAGTGAAAGCAAGAAGTGAACATCACTCATGGCAATATTGACCAAGATGCATATTATACCACACACTAACCTTCCTTGAAGGAGGTAAAATGTATGTAAAAAATATATCAGAACCAGGGATTTAAGTGTTTGTGATGACAATTTGTTGGAGGATGAAAACTGAACAATGTGCCAAAAATATAACATAATTTATTAAGTATTAGAAAACATAATATCTAAATATCTCACTTAAATGAAATGACATGTTATGCCAGAGCCACGTTCCACAAAGCGATCTTAGTGCTAAGTTGGTCGTAACTCCCATACTTTATCATAGGCTTACGATCAACGTAGCACTAAGATCGCTTTGTGGAACGGGGCCCAGAACTACTTTCAGAAGGCCTCAGTGCCGCTATGTATATCAGAGATGGATCATGAACATCAGTTAGTGAAAATTAGTAAGAAAATACATAATAAATAGACCATGTGTCTTTTCTGGTTAAATAAAACATTCATCTCATCTAGTGAACAGACAAGGCTGAATCTGCCACAAATGAAAATATCAGCTTTGTCTGATCACTCAATGAGATAGAAATGTTATCTGACAAGCAAATACAGGTATCTTCTATATCAATGTCACTATACAATATTTACAACAAACTTTAAAAATGTCTCCCAAATACGAATTAGGCATGTATACCAAATGAGTTCATCACACAGACTCATATTAAATTCTATATTTTAATATATGCATCACCAAGAGCATCATATTCTTTTTCATAAAATTCCAAATAATTCTTCCCTCCTCAAGCCATACTGAGTAGACTGACATTCTGAAACCTAGCCAGCTAATATGAACAACTCTATTAAGTCTGTGAAAGTAATAAACAGAGACTGACAAACAGCTTACCCATTTCGGATTGATTTCCAGTCGACCTTGGTTATAGGCTTGCACGGGTCTGGTTTGCCATCCTTGCCAAGTTTGGCTGAAACAAAAAGCATCACTGAAATATATGAAGGCACACTGGGAATTTGGGTTTTTAAGAGGTCCCCAGCACTCCTGCATGTCACGTGGTGCCTACTTAGGCAAGTGACTTTGTTCAAAATATGCCTCGGTTCACCCAGCTGTGAATGGGTACCCTTCGGATGAGATGGTTACGTGACTGTTAATCTTCCAGCGCCTCAGTGGTAGCTTAGGGTGTACCCTCCTAATGGGAGCTTAGAATGATAACTGCAAGAGACTAGTGTAGCGGCCATAAAATTTCTGAGTCCCGTGATGGGATTCGAACCACGGACCTTCTGATCAGAGGACGGACGCCTTGTCCATATGACCAAAGAGGTTAACCCTGTCAGCAATCTGACAAGGTAAGGATGTCATCTGTGGGATGACCCCTCGCCCTGCTACATACTCCCCCGTCAACAGAAGGCACGTCCCGGGCCGCATAGTAGGGTACTGAGGCTTATTTTGCTCAAATTCAATATGAACGTGCTCAGACCCACGTTGGGCGCCAATGTAGGGGCCATAAAATTTCCGAATTTTTCCATAGACTAAATTGTCCACCTCACCATCACAAATAAAATAAAAGATTTAGTCATTCAGAAGTATTTTATAAAAACATCAGAAGTGGTTGGTATAATTACCTTATTTATTAAACTTAATGTAATGGAATTTCCTATAAAATAGATTTGGTACAAGACAATGAATAAACATTGTGGCTGACATTGGAAGAAAAAGAGGAAATTCCATATCTGTCTATCTTTTCTTGCAGAAAGGAGCAAGAGTACTACACAAAGTTCCTGTGAAACAACGTGAGTTGGCTAGGACTGCCTTGTGCCGTGGGCCTGCTGTGTAAGATTACCATGGGGGAACATGCTGTTCATGGGTTTGGGCGTCGGCTTGAGTCCCCATGTTGTCAGGCTTCCGTCTGAATGACTGCACATGAACTGCTTCCCTTCGTGGTGCCAGGCGATTGACCGTAGAGCCTGCAACAAACACCAGGTCACACGGGTAGATTTCAGGAATGTAGTATGTATTCTCTCATGCAGTCTCTCATGCAGTCATGCATTCTCGTATGTATTCTTTCTCATATTAATCCATGATTTTGCACAAAACTACAGAAGATTAACGCAGGTGTTTAGTTGGTACTAAGACATTCATCGGCAACACTTTTAGTTTATAACAACAAGCAATTGATCATTCAGATCAAGAAGTCAACAAATTCATACATGAAGGTATCTAGATAATAAAGCATGTAACATGTAAAATGACCAATTTTTAATTATTAATTGTTTTCAATATCAGCATGTTTAGAGTTGTTTCTAACTATAATTGCAATATGCATTATCATCAGAAAGATATGTATTCATAACCTCAATGAGAATATTAATGAGAAGGAAATGCCAAACAAAACATAATTTTGTATCAGGTGACATGGACCCAACAGGTATGGGTTGGTAGGTTGAATTCTTTTTTCAAATTTAGTAATATGGCTAGCATAGGACAGAAGTTACTTGCAATATTTCTCGAAATTGTTGGTCAAAATAGCTACAGCAACAATAATATATGAAACATCTGATGATTTTTTTTCAAAATGTTAAATATGGGCTTCTTGATGACTGCTTTCAGGTGTGATAAAAAACATTTGGGTTGAAGTAAAACAATGGGACAGTCCTGAAAACACAACCATTATATTTTGTGCCTAATATATCCTTGTCTAATCCCATCAACATCAAAGTGAAAACCTTATGTCAGCACCACATAAACCAACAGACAAATACAACAAAGATTCTTTACGCAACATCCAAAATTAAATTTTACATCAAAAACATTTCAATAAATATCTGTTTGTGTTTAAAATTTGTACAAACTGTGAAAAATAATTTAACTAGGAAAAGAAATGTGAAGTTTCAATTGAATTAGATCTACTTTTTTAATAAATGTACATAAGTATTTTGCAGGCAGCTGTTCATTTGATGCACAAGCTTGAGTCTCACCTCCGGGGAGCTGTATCTTGTCTCAGCTATCTTGTTCTTAAGATCCCAGAGCACAATGGTACCAGATTCAAAACCTATTAAAAGCTGCGAAAAGACAGTGAGAAAGTAGAAATCAATGCACTCGTACACTCGGACAGTCAGTGAAATGGCTTGTAGACCTTAACAACATGTAATGCCTTCCAGCCTGGCAAAATCTCCACATTTAAGTCACTCTCATGTTGATGAGGCTGTTGTAAGGCTTCCTTGTTAAAACTGATGGCATGGATCTCAAGGTTTTTGTAAAGCAGATTTTTTTGCAGTACAAAAAGCCTCCAGCATATCTTTCCTTGGAAATGAGGACTGCTTCACCAGTTACAATTTTTTGGGCAAGATCATGCATTTTTAGATAGTTATGTTACGTGGGAATATACATATATATAATGTGAAATATTGTAAATGAAAACGCCTTCAGTGATTATTTAGAATCAGTGTTTAACACTGTGTTTTGAAAAGATATTGCTGGTATATTGTTTCAAGCAACAAACCAGGCCTCAAAGTTTAAATTTTTAACAAGTAGCCATATGGCTACGAGCATTTGTTTCCCGGAAGCCAGTGGTAAAATCAAGAAGTAAAGTCAATATTGTAGGTAGCCAAAAGCATTTGAAATTATCTTTTATCAAATAACTATTCTAATATGTACAAGTCATAGCACTAGTCTTGAAATTGTATATTAGTGGATACTGTACTTGATGTTTGTTATCTGTGACTCAAACAATGATGCAATTTATGTTACTAGATTATTTAGGTATATCCTTGCTTATCCAATGAGCATTGTCAACTGAAATAAAATAATTACATTAATATTTATGTATTTCCGTTCATTGTCAACTTTAGGATGCATTATACGCAAGTACAATTATTAGCAGACATGTTTTCGACAATCAGCTATTATTGATTTTTGTGTCTTCAAATGTGAAGCAATTGAATTTAGTTGCCACAAGATATTTTTCAAGGTAGTCATTTGGCTACCTCTGAATTTTAGACAGTAGACAAATTGAAATTTAAGTCGAATTGGCAACCGTTTAGTCACAACTTTGAGGCCTGCAGACCTGTTGAACAACGTTTGAAATAGCCTGCCTTCTAATCCATGGCAGTTTATATTTTTGACAAGAAATCCTTTAACTTATACTGGTCTGCTGAAATGTTTCAAGAATTAAACATTGTTGAACTGTCAAAGGCATAAAAACAAATATACTAAAGTAAAGAAAGATTTCTTCCCATTTTAATCATTGACAACCTTGGGCGACAAGTAATTAATTAATTGGGGAGTGCACATATTCGAGTTGCAAACATAAAAAAGCAGTTAATAATCTTTTTCCTGTTTTTGCCTGACCGGGCTGTCAGTCCGATGATTATAATCAGGGTGAATCTAGAAATCAAACCCACGATCATAGGATTCAGGGACACCAAAGGGAAGCAACTCTGCACAGTGAATTACTGCACCTAAGACTAGTAGTGGGTCAACTGTGACCTTACTAGTCTACTGTGTTACAGTGATAATGCAGAGCTACTGTTCTATCGGGTCAGTTACAGATTCTATTTATCTCACACACTGAATGAAAATTGATGTTAGTAATAAATTGCTGAAATTTGAAATGACTAATCCATTGTCAATATTAAAGAGAACACACCCTTTGTACTGTTTGAATCATTACATGCTGGTGCAAACAACTGGATAAAACAAAATCTTACTAAACAAGAGTCATCAGGAGATGACAAGTCCCCCAGTCTGGTGCAATTCTGAAATGGAGTTTGGCTACTTTTACCCCACTTATGGTTCATTGCCATTGGATACTTTCAGTTCAGTGACAAAAACAATATCGCTGTTCAGTAATTTTCAAAATCCCAAATTATCAAAAGGCACCAGTTCACCACTAGACTAATCTGTACACCAAGTTTCATCCAGAAATATTCAACGGTTTTGGAGTTCTGCTCTGGAAACAAACACTACCCTCATTTTGTCGTCATGAAAAGAAACAAAAAAAATATATCTGAAATCATCAAAAGGCACCAGTTAACACCTAGACTGATCTGAATAGCAAGTTTCAAAAAGAAATATACAACAGTTTAGGAGTTAAGGAAAAGGGACAGCATCCAGACAAATGGATGGACGGACAGATAGACGGACGGATGGATGGAAGGATGGATGGAAGGATGGACATGCTGATCTCCATATCCCCCCGGTTTGGGGGATAAAACTTTGAACAATTTACATCCATAGTTTTAGTAAAAGTCTTCAAAAGAGATTCTGAACCAACTTTGTCCTGGGTCACAATGACAACTGATATTTTCACTTCCAACAAAACCCGATAAGTCTTAGTTAACAGTGTACACAGTCTGTGTAATACAATACTCATTAACATATACAACAGTAGCATCTGGTGCAATGACAAATACACAGATAACATATAATCGATAGGATGCAACAGATATCAGTCAGCAAAATACAGGCAAATGTAACAAGCCGAGCGAAGTCTGCTCCATCAGCGATATTCACATCTGTATATAATGATACTGCAACAGACTCCAGACTTTTGAGCTGTTGAGTATTTACACAAGTTAATATTCACTGGGTATTGACAGTGTTCTTTGGGTAGTCATCCTATTTTAACTCTCTTGGGCCTAGTCAATAGGGTTTTGTAAACAGAATCTATTTGGAAAATATTTCTACTTCCATGCTGTTTCAGGTAACTTCTAAAATGCATGTCTAAATGCTGACCCAAGTGATTTGTATGTCACCCAAAGCAGGTCACATGTCACCCAAAGCAGGTCACATGTCGCCCCAAGCAGGTCACATGTCACCCGAAGTGGGTTATATATCACCCGAAGTGGGTTATATGTCACCTGAAGTGGGTTACATGTCGCCCCAAACAGGTCACATGTCACCCGAAGTGGGTTATATATCACTCGAAGTGGGTTATATGTCACCCCAAGCAGGTCACATGTCACCTGAAGTGGGTTATATATCACCCGAACTGGGTTATATGTCACCCCAAGTGGGTCACATGTCACCAGAAGTGGGTTATATGTCACCTGAAGTGGGTTACATGTCGCCCCAAGCAGGTCACATGTCACCCAAAGTGGGTTATATGTTGCCCCAAGTGGTTACATGTCACCCCAAGTGGGTTACATGTCGCACCAAGTGGGTTATATGTCGCCCCAAGCAGGTCACATGTCGCCGCAAGCAGGTCACATGTCGCCCAAAGCGGGTCATATGTCACCCCAAGCAGGTCACATGTCGCCCCAAGCAGGTCACATGTCACCCCAAGTGGGCCACATGTCGCTCCAATCGGGTCACATGTCGTATAACCTAACAACAGTGATACATGTCTGAGATACAATGTGCTAGATATTGAACATCTGTGCATTATTCACTGCACTCGAGTTCATGTACACGTGAAGCCTGCAATCATAACAAAAGATCAGTAGCGACATATGCGAAGGCAAGCTGAAAATGCTACATCGGATAAAATTACGCACAATGTTATACTAGTGGGTTATCAAATTTCCTCATGCGTACTTCAACTCAAAATTAATTGGGTTTTTGTGATTTACGTCTTAGTATGAAAAATCAATATCCCTAATGTAAACACACTATACTGACTCTGAGCCGACCAGTCCTTGTTTTAGACCCTTAATGGCGGGCACCAGGCAGGGTAACAACACACTGTACCATGTTTTAACGTTTTTTGGGAATTATGTGGCTGGGGATCAAACCCCCGCCCTTCGGCTTTACTACAAGCAGAGGCGGTTGATTGGGGGATGGTTGCCAGTGGTAGTGGAAGACACTGTGGCAATGTACTGGGTCAAAATAGATGTCATACATGTTGATACTTACATAAATTACTACAAAGTGAGGGAGTGAGTGATATGACAGTGGTCTGTAAATTATCAAGTCTAGACCAGACAATCCAGTAATTGACATCATGAGCATCAATCTACGCTATTGGGATACGATGACATGCGCCAACCAAGTCAGCGAGTCTGACCACCCGATCCTGTTAGTCGCCTCTTACGACAAGCAGTCACCTTTTACGACAAGCATGGGTTGCTGAAGACCCATTCTAACCCGAATCTTCACTGGTCGCTTGTCATAAGAGACGAGTGGTATTGATGTATGTCATTGTATCCCAATTGTGTAGATTGATGCTCATGATGTCAATCACTCGATTGTTGGGTCCAGAATCGATTAGTTACAGACCCCTGTCATCTAGCTGGAATATTGCTGAGTGTGGCGTTAATCAATAAACAAACAACTTGAACAGTATTTCAGCAATATTATCATGTGCCAGATTTAAGCAGGAAAGCCTGAAGTGAAGCAGGTCATAGCCATTTACCACTTGAGTAAAACCAACGAACATGGGTATTGTGCAGACAAACCAAGAAACAAACTTCCATACCACTACGTAAAATGGCTCAGTAATGGCACCAAATAACCAGATCGGTTTAAATTACATCACTCCTGCAAAGTCACAATCCAAGCTTCCCAGAGCGTGCAGTTAGGGATGAAATTAAAAATTTGCTATCTACACCTTAACAACATTTATTCATAAAAAGAACACAAGTGGTTTCTTGGGTAAAAGAGATATTACTAGCATGAAACTGTTGAAAAGAATTAAAAACATGTCCTCAATTTCACAAAGTTTTATCCACAAAGTTAAAATAATTACATTCAGATTATTACACCAAATATTCAAATTAATTCCCTTGTAGAAAACACCGAAAATATGTTTGCAGCAAGACCAAAAAACCCAGCTCAGCCCTGTCATAATCTGAGAAATCAAATTTGAAATTCTAACATTATTAAACAGCTTTTTCCCTTTTGAAACTGCGTTCCAAAGGAAAACCTGACCCATTACCACCAACAAAACACACATATTCTCCAAACGTAATTAAGTCGCTTTTTTGTTTCCCAAGCTCTTTCTAAGTCGTTTGAATAATTTCCACCACTAATACTCAGCTTGCAATCTCCTGAAGAGGTACGACAGAAAGCCTAGGAACGGCCCTACAAAAACATTGCCTCCATGCTTCATCTTGGTAATCTG